TACTTGTTTAGGAGTTTTCATATTTTCCAGGCTCTTCTTTTTAGGAATTCCAAGTTTGAGGGTTTCTGCCAATTCCAACAAGGGAAGGGGGAGGGAGGGGCCAGCTGGTCATTAGTTTGTCACAGACACGACTTGAATAAGTTGGACAAAATTTCTTTTTTTACAAAAACGCAGAGTTTAGCGGCTTCAAAAATACCAGAAATCAAGATGCCTTTGGTTCCTTAGTTGAAATGCAAAAATTAAAATAGGTTCACAGACGTTTAAAAAATTTATCCTTTCATTCCTAGAAGCAGACTTAACTAATTAAGAATATTTTGATGGCAAGAAAAACCAGGCCTATTTCAAGAAGTTTTCAATTACGCACATTCAGCCCGGGTAAAGTCAGCCCGGGTAAAGTCAGCCCGGGTAAAGTCAGCCCGGGTAAAGTCAGCCCGGGTAAAGTCAGCCCGGGTAAAGTCAGCCCGGGTAAAGTCAGCCCGGGTAAAGTCAGCCCGGGTAAAGTCAGCCCAGATCAACCTTGGCTAGGTAACTTTGTATTCGCACTACAGAAAATATTACTTGGGCTCACTCTACCCCCTACCCAGGCTGAAACAAAGTTCGATAGTATAGTGTAGACAAGACATTTGACATTCATGACAGGGGTCATACATAAATGATGTCACCTATAATTTAAAGATTTTTAGGCCCCCTGTCCCCCTGTGTCACCATCTCTCTGAACCCCTCTATTATATTGCCAATGAAGACACTTCTCACACTCCTCCCCCCCCCGACCTTCACTATACATTCATTTGAAATGTAGAGCAAAGGAAAAGAGCATAACTTTTTTTACAAAAAAATTTTGTAGATCTAAAGTTGCGGAAATTATATTTTTAAAAAGTTGCGAACATTAAACAACTCTGAAAGGTACCTTCTTATGTCTGCCTAGTTCAGGATTTCTCCAGGCTCCGAATTGCCAGGAATATCTTTTATTTATGCTTCTTTTTATGCAAATTTTTGTCCATAGTTTCAATTCACGTTTTATTTAAGTAATCAAGAAAATCAACAAAACTGATTTCTCTACGATATTCGTTGCTTCGGTGTTTAGTCTATAGAAACTAATAACTCTTACAAATCTGAACGCGTTTTAAAGATATGGTGAATTTTTTTGGCAGCTACTGCGATCGTAGAAACTCACAGCGCTGACCTACAGCTAAAATTTCACTGTACCCAAGACAGGAAAAGATTGAATGGTGTAACCTGTTGTTTAGAATGCATTGAGCATTTTCTGTCTACGCAAAATTGAACTGATAGAATGACTGATAATACATTTAGAAAACTACAATATGAGTAGAAGGAAGAAATAATGTTCAAAATAGCTCGGAAAAGTGGAACAAAATTCGCTTGAACTCTTCGTCCGACGCTTAATAATGAAAGCAAGTGAAATTATTTCCAATCGAAAGCCCGGTTTACACTACAAAAAGCTACCCGGGCTCAACCTGTGTTGAGTTCACCCAGGGTAAACTCTCTTCAATTTGTATTCTAAATGGAAAGTGGGTCTAAACTTGGTTTCCAAACGCAATTGTAAGTCAGCCCGGATTGAGTCAACTGCCAACTCTGATTCTTTCTTGAATAATTTTGAAAGGTTTGCTGCCGAACGTTATGAACGTTACAGAACTAAAATTGATTACAACCATCAATTGACCACTCGAAAGAACGTTTACATAAAAAGTTCGCCGTGGTTATTGTTTCGGCGTCATAGATTTTATAGCTTAGTTAGCTTTACCATTAAATTGAGAAAAACTGTTGCAATGATTTATCAAATTTCCACCAGTTTTTTGCCAATTCCTCATAATTGTACAATTTATTGAACAGTTTTCCGATATCTTCAAAAACGCCCAAGACCTATGATTAACCAAGACTTATGACTAACGCAAATTAGTTTCTTCACTTATGACTAATGCGAATTATTTCAAATGCCTGATATCGAATAGCTGAGAGGGTCCCACTTTTGAAGCATTAACTGAGTACAATCCTATGTTCTTTCCATTCAGAATGGTTGTATCTGGATAAGATTATCGATGCGTTGGCACTTGGGTATGGGAACGTTCACATATTACCTAATCAAAGATGGAGGGAGGGGGTTCACACAAATTTTTACGGTCATAATGATCAATAAATGATGTAAATTAGATGATAATTTAGGGGGAAGAGGATTTTTCCAATGTTGCCTATATTTTGTTATGTAATTTGTGCATGTTCTTTTCTTGAATGATAATGCTCTTTCCAGGGCCTATTTTAGTGTGCAGTATTACAAACTTTGTTCAGTATTAATTTAAAAACGTACAGTATTGATTTCCAAAATGTGCAGTATTGAATCTTTGGATTTGTGAAAATGTCTTTTTGCGGCTATCCCAGATTCCTGCTTTGATCACAAAATGTGAATTTTCCTCGTCACTTTGATATAGAGTTCATGTATTGTGATTTTTGTATAACCATCGGAAAGACTCTCTTATCAAAACTTAAAGCAAATCGAAATTCCTAGAACCAAAAACAAAACATCTCCTGTAAATGTCAGCATTGCTGTAAATTTCGTAATTTGATCTTGTCGAAGATAAAACATTCAGTAATAATTTATCAGTTGCCCTATGATGCTCTGGGCATCTAGCAGAAGCTCACTTAACTTAACTAAAAGAAAGATAAAGAGCCTAATAAAACTTTTTAGTTAATAGATCACCTTTCTTCAAACAGACCCAACAACCTCTGTAATGTATCGGTCGTAAAAATCGGTATTACAGACCACTATATGACATACGGTATCAGAAAATTAAACGTTAGAGTTCATGTCAATGACGTGAAATTTAAGACAGAGTCACGCAGTTTGAAAAATTATGACCGTGACTCTTTCCTTAACGACTTGCGAAATATTGACTGGGAGATGGCTATGTCATGTAGATCGGATGACCCTAATAGGATGGCTAGCAATTTCTACGATCTCTTTCTCGTTGTCTTGGATGTGCATGCCCTGTTGAAAAAAAGACCGCTAAGACGGGGCATGCACATGTACCATGGATTTCCTCAAGCTCCAAGAATTTGATGTGCGAGAGAGACCGTATTAAGAGACGGGCTGAGAGAGATCCAGCTCTTTGGCCAAGATATAAGCAGCTTCAAAACCAGGGGCGGTCTGGCGTCAAAATTGCAGGGTGGCTAGAAAACTCAAGTGCCCGGTTTAGGGCGTGGCGGGAAAAATTGAGCCACACCCACTAAAAATGTGGCTTAGAATACGATTGATTCAATAAAAATTGATAAGAAAGCAATACGCTAAACAGCAACAGTATATCGACTTTAATTCGTAAATTCGGACCCAATTGGATCCATACCTTTTCATCTCGTGTAAACAGGCTTTAAAATCCCATGTAGAGTTAAGAATCAAGATCAAAACTTATTTAAAATCTCAGAGTTTCAACTCTTTTCAAAGAAGTGCAAATGAATCAGCAAATTGGCCAATGAATGCGCAGGGTATGCACAGTTGGCAAGCTTTTACCCTTTTGATAAAGGGTGTCGATGTCGACTTTGGGGTCCTTTCTCTCTTTGTGATTCCCCACCTTGAAAGTCACAGTTTTTCTCTCCATATGTTTCTTCTCTAGGAGCTTGTTCCTTGAGATAATCTGTTTTCAGGATCTGCTGGTAGCAATTTGCAAATGCCAGCAATTCTGACATTCTATGAACTTGAAATCTTGAAAAAAGGCTCTTCCTGATACAGATCTCTGTAACCAGATGATAGTGATGTCATCTCTCTTCTGAATTTCCTGTTTTGAATTTTACGTTATTTTCATTTACTGAAGCCCCCTCCCAATAATTGCAGCCTAAGCCTTATGTCTTGTATAACAGTGTACTAAGTGGAAATAAAAACAATGAGCAGCCGCCCCCCCCCCTTCAATATGGATTTCGTTCCCACAGCACTGTCTCTCACAGTCAGATACCCTGGGCCTCAGAGCCACATAAATTAGAGAGCGGAAATAGAAGATAAGAGTGCGCTCATTCGCTTCTCTGCTTGGCATTCTGTTTACGCGCTCGAAATTTTGTGGCTCTGGGACCCAGGGTACACGTAAGATTGAACACATGGCTGAAATAACGGAAACCAGGGTTTGGGTGGTTTGAAGCGCATGTACTGGACTTAAATCGCAATATAATCAGTCTAGGGCATTAAGTATTTGACATTAAGTTAAAAATTTTCTCCAACGCGGAAAGGCCCGTAAATTTTTTGTACACAGGGCCCGGGTGGCGATCGCCACTTTACCACCCGGGCCAGACCGCCCCTGATTCTGATCGAAGGAAAATCCGGGGCAATGTTTTCGAGCTTTTTCTTATCACTATGTCTCATAGTTCTTCTCTTTCTTGGCCGTACAGGGTCGTCAATAAACTCAGGCTTCGAAGCTTTCCCGACAATACTTTCAGAGAACAAATCTGCCGATTCTTGGTATTTCAAAACATTCAAAATTTTATTTCTAGCAGTTTACTTTCCTTCGTCAGCTGATGTTTTCTTCTTTTGTAACCAATTGACAGTTTGTCGGTTAATAACTGAAAATTGAAGCAGGTTGAGGTCATAGAAAAACGATAAGCGCGCCAGAAAGTTCGCTCTGGTGAATTTCATTATGACGAGGTCGAAATACTTTATATTGCTTAATTTAAACAAACAAATGATAAAAACGCATAGCAAGACATGAAAATCACGGAAACTACGCAAGACTTACACAAAAATCGTTAGCCTGGGTGCCAGAGCCTCAGTGAGTGGGTAAGCAGTTGTAGTAACCACAGGCACTGAAATGAAAAGTTGTAAGACTTGACAGAAATGAAAATTTGAACGGTAACGACAATGATAAGGACAGATTATAAAAGAATATTGAAATGCAAGTCAGACAACATTTCTTTCTAACTTTGCCCAGAAAATTTGACACTTCAGAAAAGAAGGAGAATGGTCCTTGCCTCGTGGCTTCGCCCACCCTGTTCTATGGTTTTTGTTTTGGGGGAGTGGCAGCCTCGTGTCCGTTAGTGTGACAATCATGGCAGCAGCTACAAGAACAGGAGGGAGCATGAAGGCTGCTTTGGTTTTTGGGCTAACGACATTAGATATAGTAAACATTTGTCAGACTTTCCCAGAAGAGGACGAGGATGTTCGAGTGCTGAACCAATATTGGCAGAAAGGTGGAAATGCAGCCAATACATCTGAGGTGCTGGCTCAGTTAGGCCTCGAGGCCCATCTGTTCAGTGCTTTCGCTGTGGACAATGCAATGTCCGATTTCGCAAAAAACTCCCTAGATAATAGCAATGTGGTTACCAAGCACTGTGTCGCTCTTAAAAGTAGTGGATTCCCAACATCTTGTTGTATAGTTTCAAAATCTACAGGTTCGAGAACTATTCTCCATGGAAGGAATGACATGCCTGAGTTGACCCTCGAACACTTTAAAATGATTGACTTCGCATCTGGGTACAGTTGGGTGCATTTTGAGGGGAGGGGTTTCCCCCATTTAAAAGACATGGTTCACGAGGCAGTAAGAATTAGAAAGGATCGAGGGTTGAGTTTTAAGATATCAATCGAGTTTGAAAAGCCGCAAAGACATGATTTTCTTATTTCATCTGGTATTGCAGAAGCTGCAGATGTTTTATTTATAAGCAAAGATTTTGCAAAACGATTAGGTTTCAGCGACGCAAAGGATGCAATTCTGAATGCTAAAAATAAACTTTCATTGAATCATGATTTGACTGTGATTTGCCCGTGGGGTGAAAGTGGGGCATCTGCAATTGATGAGTTTGGGAACACCTTTCACTCTGACTCTTTTCCTCCTGTGAATGTCATTGATACACTTGGTGCAGGGGATACATTTATAGCTGGAATTATCTTTTCCATGTCTACAGGCAGCTCAGTAGGTGAAGCTTTAGTCTTTGGCTGTCAACTTGCTGGCAAGAAATGTGGACAATATGGATTTAAAGACCTGACCTGATCTGGTGCACTCTCTCTGCAAGTTTGTTGCAGGCTGCTAGATTGAGAAAACCATAAAGACAATTATGAATTTCAAATTACGAATTTCAAAAATTTTCTATCAAAATTTTACATGGCCAAAAAAACTGATGAACGTCAAATTTGACTTTGATTATTGTAATCAATGTATTATATTTTGTCGAGGGAGCAATTAGTTTGCAATTTGATTAATTGTGGTACTGTGAATGAGCAATCAAGTAGATTGCTAAAAACATCAAACACCAAAAGGGCATTTGTTTGTATGCTGCAAAACCTTAGAGTAACCAATGAAATTATGGTGAAATTATGTCTTTAGTGTCAGCCTCCCTTGGTATTTTGAAAAAAATGCCACTAATTATGCAATCTGAATTAATGCCTAGCATTGTAAAAGGTGGTATTTGAAAGAGAAAGGAATGAGAGGGGTTTTTATGCTTTATTGAAATACATAGACATTTTGACCTTTATAAAACCGTCTAGTTAAACACCATGGAGTTTGATTTAGTTGTCATTTTAACTGATGGTGCCATAATGTGTCCTACAAGGTAACAATAGACCAGAACAGGGTTTACTTTTGGGTAGGGTAGACACCTTTTTATTTTTGTTCTTTTGTCATAGTAACATTTGGAAAGGGAAAGTAGAAAAATATTTGCAAAATACATTTGATTTAACATGTTAAGACTGACATTGATGCAATAAGGATATCACAAAGAGTTCATTTTTGAGGGACTTCTTGCTGCTCATCTCTGTAGAAATTGATGCTACCAGGGAAGTAAACTTAAAGCAGGTTGACTAAACAAATTAAGATTTTAAAAGCAAAATGAAATATGAATATGAAACCAGTCGAACAGATAAACCTTGAAATTCAAAAAACCAGAATTAAGGTGTTAGCTAGTGCTGAATAAAGTAAGGTATATATACAACTGTGGAATATAGGTCTTTTGGTTCTTTCTATTTGCAACATATGTAACTAATTTGTTTTAGCGGTATTTCATAGTGTTCATTTACCTTCTTTTGTCAAAAATTAGGATTTTCATGGTGGTGCCCTTTGGAAGGGCTTTGAGAAAAGGGTTGATTGCCAATTATCTATTATACATCATCTGCAATCAGTGGCAGTTTTAAGAGGGGGGGGGGGTTCAGGGCCCCAGGGCTTGTGCTTATGGTAGCGAAAAGAGGCCCCACAGTCCCTAGAACCGCCACTATCTGCAATGTGTGTAGGTGAACTCAAATCCTGCAGATACCAGAAAAGTGGCTCAATGCATTTGAAAGTATTGATGTTATTGAATCCAGGCCACATCTTTTAATTGCTTTTTGGGGGTTTAAAGTTTTTGCGCATTGACCAGGGAAGGGCTGAATATTTTTCTGCCACGGGCAACAGGTTTACATACTTCCCTTTATTTGGAAAACATCCAAAGTGTCTAAAAAAGGGAATAAACAAATATACATCTACAAATAAACATCTAATCATTCTGAAACTGATCTTTGTTACCAGACATTCCATACAACTATGTCCATTGATACAGCCAAGCTTCAATGTAAATTGAATGGAATTAAAATTATCATTAGCAAAATAACAGATAGTGAACTCAAGTTCATTGATTCTCTTTGGAGACTTGCATGACAGCAAGCATGAACATGATAGGCGGTCAAGGAGCCCTCCAGTCCCGTTGTTGTACCCCTAAACAGTCTTGCTGGTGGCTTTTCTGGAGCCTGGGGCAAAAAAACGATTGATTCTGAGACAAGGCCATCAGAACAGTGATTTGGAGTACCTTACAGCTCAGGTCATGGGGTAATCCCCCTGCACCCCTCAGCAGGCCAGCCCCTGAACATCTCAATGCACTTGAAAGTCCCAGACCCAACACTTTAAGAAAACAGCAAACAAGATGAAGAAAAATAAATTCAAGATGTCAAAAAATTATCATAGAGAAGCGTTGGAATTATCGCATGCACTGCGTTGGCAGACTGGACATGGCTTACCTAAATCATGCCTAATGAACATGGCCTACAGGTGTGGGTATAAAAACACTATTTTCACAGACATATATGCCGACGAATGAATGGATAGTTTATTGATAAAACAATCAGTTTCATCAATTCTTGCTTGGAAAACAAACCAGTGACGGCTTATAAACAGGATTAACAACAAATTTATATATATTTATATATATAATTCATACGACCGAGAAATGAACAATAATTATGCAGTTAACCATTATACGGTAAGGAAACGCCAGCAAATACCTCGAGACATCAGACCACTAAAACAAAGGCCTCCAGGGAATATAATTCAAAACGAAACCCTGTTATGGGGTCTGAGAGTCACTCCTCCCATTTAAGCGCAGTTTTACGCGCTAGTATGAGCGGGGAATAAAGAATGATTGACATATAGACGGGGAGGGGGGCGGACGTCACGTTATAAAATGAAATTTTGCGAAGAAAACGTAGAAGTAAAGCCAATTAAGGCAGTTTGGAAATGAGGTTAAATGTAGTGGTTTGGAGACTGGTAGTTATGCCATTTTATGAAGTTCATGTTTCTTTGTGAATGAAACACAGTTAGCAAGTGGATGAACACTCGTTGATGATCTTATGGTAAGGCGTATCTTTACAGCATTTCAGAGAAAATAAAATTGGAATTCTGGTCAAATTAGAGATTTTAAACTGCGTGTTTCGGATTATAAGCGTTTTAAATCAAATTCACATAAACTGAACATGGTGCAACAAAATATCACTTTTAAGGGTAATTAACGAATACTTTTCGAAAAACAAACGGTTATTTGTAGGCAAACAGAGAAAGACAGAATTAAATTAAATTTCAAAAATTGTGCTTCAAAATACTTGGCTACAACTAGCAGTTAAATTCAAAATGTAATTCCACTATGATTCTACATCTTAAATCTCTGTTGAAAATCTATCATCCAAACTCGAGAATGAATGCATTCAGGCAAGAAAATTTACAGAGACAGCGATAAACACGAAAGCACGGCAATCAACGAACAGACCTGCGTACGAGGCTGACAGTTCACTGACTGGTTTGCTTGGCAAAACAATCTCGTGCTGATTCTTGAATAGAAATGCGGCGATGTCTAAAATAGAAATGATGCCTAAAACTGACATCAGATAAAATGTCTGAATGAAACAAATGACCCCAAGAAAGATTTGGTTTCATGTCTAATGGCAGAAATAATAACGTGGACTGAAATAGTTTTTGTCTTAATTTGGATCATCAAGCATTTCAAAAAAGGTTAAAAAGTTGTAAAACCAACAGAAATGCTTGATAATAGCAATAAAATTTCCCAAGGCCTTTTTGAAATATTATAGACCTGACCAATGAATCATGAACGGACAAAATACTAGATTAACCATTGAGACACAGGTCTTCGTGTGTAATTGGCATTGCGACAAGTTCCCATGCCGCATTGGAGCAAACCAGTCAGGAATGCTTAGGTACCATATTACAATATGTGGGCTATATGAAACGGTACACTGACTCTAGTTTCAATTTCAGCGTTTACATAACTGAGTTAAATACATCGCCACCCACAATAATACAATGCTGATATTTGTTTACAATTTTGTTGCGCTTGACATTCACCTATGCTATGATGAATCTTTGGTTTCACTATCCTTATCTTGCTGTAACAACCGCTTTAGACGCTCGTTTTCTTCTTTCAGCCGTTGATTTTCGTCAGTCCATGTTGATACAGTCTCTTTTAGTGTCTCTACATCCTTCAATGTCTCCACAACACTTTCAAGAGTCGATTGGATGGTTGTGATTTGCGTCTGAAATTGAGAACAAAGTCAGTCTCTTCAATGCAAAAACTGTTAAAAAAGCTTCAGGACGTAGAGTCGGGTAGAACATTTATTAGCACAAGGAGAATAGTAGATAGGCTGCAAGGAACAAAAAACGCTTAGATTTCGGAAGAGTTTTTAATTCATTAGGCAATCAAGTAGCTTCCAGAAATAGCAGTAGTACTCATGCATTGTCATGCTGCAAATGACATGCTATACTCCGGCTTTTTGGCATCCGGCAGGATATACACTTACGTGACAAAAGTATTAGAACGATGTATAACAAAATGGCGACTCCAAAACTAGCATTCTAACACTGATTGAACAAATCCTACTGTTTTGGCGGGATTCTAGAAGTGGCGTCAGCAAAAATGCAATTCCTAACAAATTCAATTTATTTCCTTCCTTTCTATGAAAGAAAGATCATAAAATGTCAAAGAGAAATGGAAAATATCAATGTTTTATTTTCAATGCCGAAAATACAAAAACGACCAGAAAGAGAACGCGCAGCAATAAAAAAAATTGGTTTTAGCGTGTCATTTGTTTGCTGAAACTGCAATAAAGTTTGGTTGCAGCAAGTCTACAACGCATATTATTTACAAGTACAATAAGTTAACAAGGCCGACTAAAAGTCAAAGAATGGTAGGCCACAACTGCTTGGGCCTAATGGCGTCGGCAAGCTGGCGTTATGAGCGAAGTCAATCAATGCTGAGTATTTTGTCCAATTATTTGTGGAAAGCCCCCAGGCAAGTACAGAAACAAGTAATGATTATTTTCAAAGACCATTTATTTTTAAGTAGGACAATGAACCTAGTTATGCTGCAATTATGACAAAAATTTCCAAAACAATAACATCATGGTCTTTCAATAACCCCGTTAAAGTCAAAGCCTTGATGTAATTGAAAACAACTGGTTTTCATAAAAAGTATCCAAGAAATAGAATCTTTTGAGACTAAAAATAAGCTCTTTTAAAATTTTCTTGAGATTTGCTCCTGTATCCGAAGATATTTTGTTTCAAAATTATTTCAGTGAGTTCCAGTGCAAATGGCGGCTGCCTAGATTCCTGGTGGTCATCCGACAAAATGTATATTAAAACAAATTGTATTTGTCTAAAAAGTTTATATTTTCTACAAATTATCAAATTTATGTTTATTTTTACAATTGGGAAAAATAGCGATCGAGAATCTTAACCAGCAATCTCATTATGTCCCACCGAATTTCTATGCTGTTTTTTGAGCAAAGGGTTAACCACATTTGCTTAGAGGCAATCGTCCTAATACTTTTGTCACGTGTATTAACTAGAGGTCGACATAAAGAAGAAAGCTTCGGTTTTATAACACATTGAAGGTTTGTCAAAAAACGCAGCAAATATTATAGCGGCCTTCAAGTTCTTTAGTTCTCCTTGATAGTAGTTCTTGTAAAAGATCGGTGATGGGCTTAATAGAGAGGGGGGCTTAATACAGAGGGGAAGTGCTTGAAAGGGAGAAGGCTAAATGAACATGTTGCAGTATCAGCTGACCCGAATCATACGAGAGGCCTGTTCTTAAAGCAATTATTGCCTTTTTTTGTCTCTCCCCCTGGACACGAGATAGGCTAACTCGCTGCAAAGGACAGGGACACCCTTGCAACAAAATGCAACTTATGATGCGACAGTTCCACGTCACAGTGTTGTTCACGTTAATTAAAAGCAAGCTCAAGAGTGTTTCTTACCAATGCTTCTTGGATAGACAATGGTGCGGTTGCAGACGCTCCTCTTTTTTGATTGCTGAAACAAAATGAGAGACTTTGAAAGAAACCTTTAATCAGAAAAAATATACATATGTCGTTTATCATTGTTATCTGATGTTCAAGTTAAGCGTGAAATTCAAACTTGCAACTAGAGTGTGTGTCGATCGGCAAAAGCTTTTTCATATATCATTCATCACTACGTTGTGTAATGGTATTCCATTGTTTGTTAACATAAATGGAAGAAAACTCTTTTTGCAGTTCAAATGTAAAAAACTGCAGATTCATAGCAAACAAGAAAAATCTTTTATAGAGGAAGATGTAGCACTTAAGATTTGGAAAAAAACAAACATCTCGTTGATGCAAAATTGTATGCAAAATCAAACACCTCGTTGATGATCCCCCCTGAAGACTTTGATACTAGAGTGACGCAGTTCAAAATGCCTGGCAGCCAAAGGAATACGGCTGGGGCTGCTCAGCACTTTGATACGAAGCTATCCAAAACATCTTGGAGTGTCGCTCTGGACGGGTGTTTTAGAAACGGATGATTCTACTGGATGTGAAATCGTGCGGTTGAGGATGGGATTTGAAAATAATTGGAATGCAAATAAATAAATAAATAAATGAATAAATAAATAAATAAATAAAAATTGGCAAAAACATCAATAAATGATATAGCAATTCGCTTTCAAGGTTATTAAGAAACGCTTACTAGGCGTTCTAAACGACAAAGAGCATGTGATAACTTCAGGACCAACTAAACCGATTCCATCAGGAGGAACTACTAGGATCAAAGTTGACCTAACAATTGATTGGCCAAAGTGCGTGCTATGATACTTTCATATGTGAATATATGTTAAGCATGTAAATCAGTCTACGGGTTATAGAACGACAAGAAACAACACAAAATAATGCGCAAAAATAAAATTGACCTACGAAGGTAAATTCTTTTCTCCAGAAGAGTAAACAAATCCATTCATGTTGCAAAATACTGTTTCTGCGTGCTCGTTTTAAAATAATCAAACTCAAACTTAATTGTTAGGAGAAGCTTGACACATCGTTAGTTCTATAACTTTTGCAAAATAAAAGGAAACAAAAATAAAAGACAAAAAGATCGCAACATACGACTTCTCGAGACAAATGCGATCACCTCTCTGGCTCGCTCCAATCTAGCCGTTCGCAGTTCAATCACTACAGAGAACAGTGGTTACGCATGCAAGTGTCAGTACCTTTGGCCCGATCATACTTAAACAGTCTATCGGGCGGGATCTCTTCATAATGCAGTATAAATCCAAGTTTCGCTCACTACTTTACTTATAGCAGGCAAAGACCAATTCTTCTGCAAGATAAGTTACGGCTATTTGAGAAAAAAATCCTTATCTTCAGCTGGGAAGGTATTAGAATCTGGCTCAAGTTGATTACTTATGTTAATACAATTAATCTGGGTGTGTCTAATAAGAAGTAAATTCTTTTGACAAAACAAGGATGCAGAATTTTGCTTGATTTAACTTAAGTACATGCTGGTGAAGGTCAAATAGTCTTTTAATGTAACTGAATTTTATAAACACTTAGATCTTTGTATCAGAGTTACATACCAAAAGAGGTTTATCACAGATGAGAGCCTTAAAATCAATAAAACGTGGAAAGCTATTGTAACATGGACTACTTGCCTAGACCACAAGTGGGATCAAAACATAGGAGCTAACACTTAATTTTTAGCATTCTTATAACCCCAAAAAACGCTTACCACCCCCCTCCCCCAATATGTACTATGTTTCGCGGTCCCTGCATTCTTTACTTCGTTTGCAAGGCGAAATTCGGAGGACTGACGTGAATAGGTTGCTTCAAATTACTAGACTTGGGATCCAGTGGAAAGTCAAACAAAATGTAGGCATGCGCTGGCTATTTAGCAGCAGCTTCAACGTTTTTGATTTTGCTGTTTAAGGGACGGTATAGATAGACGAACGCAGTGAAAAACTGGGGTTTGTTGGTGAAGCATTGGATCGCATGACGTAATCAATTAGGAGCTTTTAATCCCTTCTCAGAAAGTTAGTATTGAAGGATACAACATGCTACAAAAATTTTGTGCACATGGTTCCTGTTTTTATAATCATCTGATTTTGCATTATGAGGCATATGAATCTCTCAAGGTGTGCTTTGCCTCTTTTTCAACCAGCTTGTGTTCTGCCTCGGATGACTATTTAGAGTAAACCGACTTCGCCATTTTAACTTTTCTTTCAAGATGCAGTAAGAAACAGCACATGAATCAAATGGTATTCTCATCGGCCAGTGAAGTGCAACCTAATCCAACTTCACCTGAAAATGGCATCTTGACCCTAAATCAGTCGCAGGTTATTGTAGGTTGCAAAATGAAAATTGGAACAGGTCGCATGCCGGTTTCAACATGCTTCCTTTTGGACCCATCATGTTTGTGCAACAAGTTGAATGAGCTTGCATACGAATATGTTCAACAATAGTGGGCCCGTAGAGCCTGAGCTGCCCAAAGGCTTTGTATTTGTCGAAAACTGCCGGGCTATATCCGAGCCATCTGCTGGCTGGTCAGTGGGTTCTTCGGGTGGTAGCGTGGAGATCAGTCTCCAGAATGAAGTTTGGCTATCGAAAAAAATGAGACTCACTGCGGGAACACTCCAAGCAACCAAGAAAAATGAAAGACTTTTTACTAGAATTAGACTGGTCTTTTGAAAGAACCCACCAAAAGAAACGTGGGGCGTCACGTTATCTTCAATAAGATAAGTGCTGCACAAAGACAGAAAGCAAGAAAAGTTTGTAGATAAAAGTTGTCAGCGTTTATGAAAAGATTTCATCATATCCATTATCAGAGGAAGACTAAAGATTAAATAATGATCGCAAAACTATTATGATAATATATATGATTATGTATATGATGGCTATGTATATGATAATAGGGAAAGCAAGAAGGATCGCCAACCTTTTAGAAGAGAAGTCGTTGTTTGATAAAGTTTCATTTCTGACAGTTTGAACTACCCAACCTTTTCGATGTGCATGCAATATGACATGGAAAAGGCAATTTCAAGAAATAAATGTAACGTAGTCATCAACAAATCTGCTCTAGCAAATACGCTTATCTTGAAAGCCCGTGTTGGAGGCTGTCTTCACATATACTTAACCAATACGAGGGGCGATTTACAACAAGGATTCGCAGGGGAAACGAGTGGAATGACCCGTCAAAGGTTGAATAACCAATTGGAATTGAGAATCTTAGATTATAAATCTTAGCCTTTAAACAGAGTTCCAGCTTTACAAATCGGAATTCAGATTCACAAAAAGGAATTCGTATCGAATGTAAAATCTCCGCGATAAAAAGCATCTTATCTTGCATCCAAGGGCTTGTATTTCAAGGATATCATTCACTGAATAAAATCAAATTAATTTCAGCGAGATAATAGATATTATTTTATCTTCGTCACAGGTATCCAGATAATACCATATGCAACTTATCATTGCTTAAACAACATAACATCTCATATCATGGAGAAAATCTGTGCTTAAAGGCAATCTGTCTCGTTGTGGATTGGTTAACGAGAACAATAGCTGGAACAATAGTCTAAACACGATTCCAGCGCTCCGTCATATTTTTTACAATGCGGTAAATTAAAGGGGGACTGGAAACAATAAAAAATCCCTTTGTCCTTAGGTAATCAACGTCGTGACAGATTGCCTTTAAAAAAGGTACAGGAATGCCAAAACATGATGTGGGCCTGAAAAAACATGACTTTGTAAAGTTCTAGTGACAATGCAATAGATAAGATGAATCAATAAAACTGGACTGAACAGAAGATCCTTATAAAATATGATTCATTCTACAACAAGAGACAGTTGAAGGCCATGTTTACATCGTTGCAGACAATTCGCAAGATCAATAAGTTGTCAACAAAGTCTGGAAGCATCTGGTTTTTCACTGGTCTGGTCAGCTGCAGCCCTTGCCTCTAAGATCAGGCTACAATGAGTGCAAATGTTATAAAATATAATTAAAAAATAACACACATGCCATAGCATTTCAATGCAGAAATTTAATTACTTTATTGCAAAGGAAGAGAACGAACGCAGAATATGGGCAGAAATTGATAGGCTTTACTTCAGAAATAATTTTCCAGGTAAGATTCCAGAGGAAAAATATTGGAAAAAAGGGTGTAAAAAGCAGGTATCTCTTAAATGGTCTCACAGAAAGTTGTTAGGATCAAAGAATAAACAACACTAATGCCACCAGCAACTTTTTCGATTAAAGCTTGAAAAGATAAGTTGATGCAGAAGGTCTATACTAACAATTCTGCAGCTAAACAAAGTGATCTTTTTTTAAGTAAAATATTATCATTTGTATACATACCAAATACTAACCACTAGTTTCAACCTCAAATTTTATGAACACCCTTATATATCCGACAAAGATAAAGAAAATCAAACAGAGATATGGGCTTCTCAAAAGAGAATATGGGTAACAATGAAACGTCAGAGGTCTAGGGCTTCCTAGACTTCTTAAAGTAAAGAGCAACTTGAAGAGACCATGTTTAAATGTTGCTGCATTAAGCAATTATAAACTGTGGTTCTGCATATCCATTAATTTTCATTTCTTGGCTAGCAAGTCAAGGGATGCAAACAAAATACACCTCTGACTAAAATATACATAAAAAGGAACAACTGGCTCTTTGAAATGTTTGGTTGGAGCTTTCCAAAAGCAAAGATGAAAAAGATGGGAAAATCGATGAAAGAATTTTAGCAAAGTAAAGAAAAGTACAACAATAACAGCCATAATTAATTTTTTTCTGATGGAAATATTCCTTGTCCAATACAGCACAATAACAAATATAGGTAAATGCATAAGGAAAAAACATTTTCTTCATCCTTGCAAGCCTTTTGACACCCTCTTGTATTTCAATATATCTGTAAGATAAGACAGGCTGCCTCTTTAAGAACTTTTCTTTGACAAACTGGTCTTGATTCTGAGCTAAAGATTTTCCTGTAAAAATTTCTTTAGAGGTTTTTCATCATGGAATAAAGGAAGTAGATGAGGTTAATTTTGAGGTAGGTACCACCTGAAAGCGGATAAATTGCTGTGGTTCTTTTCAAGTACCCACATATGTAGGGGTTCATAAAAGTGATGGTGAATGGCGATCTGCTGGGACCTAAGGGGGGAAAACTGGGGTGAAAAGTTAGAACTCAGAGGTAATGCCTCTGCCGAGGAGAAAATGTGAAATTTCCATTTTGGATACAACATAGGTTACAGTTCAAAACAGCAAGTAAGACCATTTTTGAGTACATTCAGTTGAAAATGTTCCCTTTTCGTAATTCAAACGGGTCACCTGATCACCATTTACCTTGACATTATAAGGAGGCATTGACTCTTTGTTGCAATAAATCCCAAAAATGCTGTTATGAGTGTTTTAACAGCTTCAATGGTTGGTTCCTTTTAAATTATAGAATTTCTTATGCTGGCTATCAAAATGGTTTTATGTATATTTCAATGTAACATAACTATGCGTGAGATGTGTTGATGGACATCCTCAACTTATAATGCAGTCAAGGCCATTTGTAAATAGGGTTTTGCATCAGATAGGTCTACAGTATCGATATGGACATTAAATGGAGCAGAACAGGCCAAAAACACAGATTGTTGCTAAAGCTGGCCAGTTTGACCAATGCATCAGCTATGCACAAGTCACTTCATCCTTCACAGATGTTGAAAAAATGGATAGGAACATTGCCAAAGTTCAGAAAGAAGAGTATTTGAACCCCATTTGATGTGAGTTTACACAAGATGAAGTTCTGAAGTACCTGTTTTCAGGTGGTAGCTACCTCAAAATTAGTCTGGTCTAAAGAGCATTCTTCACCAGCCTAACTGTTTTTATCATTTTAAGCTTAAATTGGCAAAAATTATATGTTCATTGATGAATACTATCTTCAAATAAACTTCAAGTAGTTATGCTGCATGGGTGATCAAGCCACTTCACATTAAAATGAAGCTATCGACCCTTGCAGGAATGGTGTTTTGAAGTGAGAGTTGATCACTGAAGCTCAAGGTTACTCAAAAAAGTAGCACAGGCTAGTTTCATAAAGGAGCTATTTTTTCCATTCTTTTATAAAGGACTGACATATTTACTGACAGGGTCAAAATTACTTCTGATTATTTATCACAGTAGCTACTTTTGAGCCCTAAACATGTCCTATTCTTATTTTTTATGGACAATTTTGGCATGAAGGGTGCTGTTTCTACTTAGAAATCAATAGTATTTTGCATAAATTTGACACCCAGCTTCCCAAGGAATTATAATCTCAATTCCTACCTTGTTGAGGTAGAAATCAGGCCAGAAAATGTATACTGGAAAATTATGGGTTTTCTTGAGTTAATATGTAAAATGTGATTCATACAACCTTCCATATTCAATAAAAAACATGGAATTTGCATGGAATGAATTTCAAGTGAAGATTTTCATTGCATCACAATGTGTCATCCATCAATGAAACAGACATAACCATGATAAATATTTGTAAGTCAATGGTGTTGATTTTAATGGCAAACTAAAACTAGGCATGCAACATTGGTCAAATAGATTTCCTGAAAAATTTAAGACCTACTGAAACTTGTGCATTAACCCAACTGAAAATTAAGCATGAGGGTTACAACAAGAGTTTCTAAACAATGCATTTTACAAATGCTCAAAAGAGGTATGATGGTTCAGAGTTCTGAGTTAGATTGTCTTACAACATAAAGTGACTTGTATGCAGTGTATGTCAGTTCTCTGAAAGATATCAGGTAAGCACAACCAATTTTTGCACAATTTCTACATGAAAATATCTTTGTGACATTCAAATGGAATTCAAACAGATATTTTACATAACAGATATGGTAAATTTGATGTACACTGTGCAATGTAATTTTTTGGTGTGCAGCACTACACTGACCTTATTTGTGCATCTGCCATACTCAGAAGACAGGTCTGTTTATATGGCATCAAGCAATAAACAATGATACTTCATCAATTGTAATTACATATAAATACGCTCATTTTTTATAAGAAACAGGTTATTAGAAATGGTAGGCTCAATTTTTTACAAAGTTAAGAAACAACCCTACCCAAACTGAAAAAAGCTAAGAAATCTTTATAATTTGCAGTTTTAATTTTCCGAGTTGACAATTGAAACAGTCTTGACATTGAACATTGCTGTATATTGCAACACTACACTTCATATGCAGTTTGCATTCATTCTCAGTAAATTTCACACTCTAGGAGTTTCCATTTAAAAATTTGTTTTGACTTCAACTTGACATTGATGAAGTTCAATGAACTTGACTGTTACAGATCTCAACAGAGTTAGTCATTCTAGGAAAACAAAATTCCTTGATCACTTTGTTAGTTTATCTCTGATGAATGCGAGTGAACTATTTACTTTACCTTGGAAGCATGTTTAAAAAATTCATTACCTAAGAAACTTAAAAAACATATAAGAAACTTTTGATAGCAAAATGGCCAGAAAATATAAGAAACTGGCTACCAGCACCGGACCTTAATTTCTTATAAAAAATATCTGTAGTTCATTTCCAGGGTTGCAGAGGGGATGTTAAGATATTGCCCTTGAAAATGTTTAAGTTCCCTCTCTTCTGAAACACATATCAAAACAGGTCTTTTCACCATTGAAAGGTACTGAGTTAAAAATTGCTTGAACCTGTTTACCAACTAGTGTGTTGCATACCTTCTGTGAACAACATATAAACAATGTTTGATGAGCATGTTTTTGTTGCTTTTAAGAAGAATTTGTCAGGGTGTTGGAGAGAGTAATAATTTTCTTTTTTAGACCAGATAACTTGCTGGAATTAAACTTGCTGGAATTGAAATTAAACAGATAATGTAACCATAAATAGCATGGTTCACAAATACAGATATATACGATTTGAAAAATGGTAGAGGAAACTTACCTTTGGGCAAATTCCCTGAGAGTGTCAGCACGTGTCTCCAACTCAGCTAGAACAGCTCCTGGGCCAGTAGCTAGGCCACTTAGTTCTTCTCTGTTATCCAGCACACTTTCAGGATTCGGATTTTTCGATACTTTGTTATGACTTCCATTTTGACTAAGTTCTACAGGTACATATTGGTCCGTTCCTTGTTTTATGTTTTCTTGCTTACTGAAGACAAGACTTTGACTAAAATGCTCTCTACTTTCAGATACCTGAGGGTTTATAGAGTTGTTTCCTCCTAAAGATATTCTGGGTTCAGATACATTTCGATCTAATTTACTTTCCGACATAAATTCCTGACATGCCCATCTACCTCTTTTATAAGGTTCAGCCCTGGCAACTTTTACAATTTTAAATCTAGATGTTTGGCTTACACTGCTAGATTGAATTTGTGTTGCTTCACTTCCGTTTGCATTAGCGGCAGGGATCCTTTCCCCAATGTCCCCAACCGATTCTTCGGGAGTCAAGGAAAGACGACTTGTGTCTGTCAACTCCGTTGGACTCGACACTTCATGGATCTCTGACAAAGTTTCGTCCAATTCTAAATCTTCAATTTCATTACCGACACTGTCCCCTCTGTTGTCCGTATTCTCAACATTGGTAATTTCGAAAAGGCTCTTCTTAGGCCTACTTCCCTCAGGACCATTAGCAACCTTCGCTTCGGTATACATATCCCCTCTATCCTGTAATACTTGCGCATTACTTTGCCCACTTCCAACTGACCCAAATAAAAGTGGTTCATTACTTGAAGATGTTTGAAAAGCAGATTCTCTCAGGTGCAGTTTGTCGACCGGGTTCGCCATTGACAACTTGTGCCTCCTTTTTCGAAGCTGCCTTTCAAGAAAGAGTAGGCATTTCACGAAGTACTTTGATGCGAATAAACCTGTATTATCCATAAGGCTTTCTCCAAATCGTATCCATAACTATTTCACCTGAACTGAAGCTGGATATTATTCACACGCCTCCCTTTCCTTTCAAGTATTTCGTCCGCCACATTGGGTAGGTTAGGCTCACGGCGAGCATGCACTTCTACGTACAGGATTCCGGGGGGTAAAAACCCTTTTGCACACTGATGTACTTCAGAGTTCAGGCATGAAAAAGTAACACAACATTTGCAGAAAACATATGAGGTGGTAGAAAGACAACAAAGGTGAAAATGTATATTTAAATTGAAGTTTGCAGATTAATAAGCTGAAATTAAAGGAAAAAAGTGCTACCGCACCAAAATTTTTCTTTATGGTTTTGAAGTGTTAATATCTTTGAGTTTCCATTTTTCAAGTCAGAAACTTGATTTTGGGGAAAAATTTTTCTTAGTTATTTAAAAGCAAAAAATTCTGGGATATATTGCTTCAGCCCTCTACCCACTAACTTCATTTTGAATTTTCCAAAAAAGGCACCACCAAACAATTGAGTATCATTTTCTTTGAAAATTCGGATAAAACTTCGAAAACAAGACTTCTTGCTAGAAAATTATATCCTTTAGGAAGTTTGTATTGTGGATACCATGGAGTTATGACGCCAGTCGAATATGCATTATCATTATTGGATGGTAAATTCGGTCTCTCGTTTTCTTCAATTTCTCTTGAATGTAAGAATTAAACAGTAACAAAATTAAGAAAAATTTTTCATCAATGCTCGATCAACTCAATGTATTCGAAAATTAGGCTTTTTTGAAACTATATGCTCTCATTATTCGTACATAAAAGTTCACAGGCAGCTAGGGTTGGTGTTAGTTGCGTCTGCATACCCCCCGTTATTCACTGGGCTAAGCCCAGATCCTAATGCGCACGCATCCCGCGAGTCATGGTCAAGGGTAACCTCATCATGGTATTACAACGGAAATATTTCAGACAGAGACAATGCCACGTCGTCACAAAGAAATTTAGTTATTTTGAGCAGTTGATTAATAAACATGTTACAATTGACATGATATCAACAAATTAGAAGTTGAGAAATTTTCTTCAAATATCAAAAACGTTTTTGAGCCTTGTTAAGAATTCAAAAACGAAGAATGGGCAATTATTTTTTCGTTATTCCAGCGTGAGGGTAATTACCCCTCACCATAATTTCAAATGAAAAGATTTCAAAAAAATAATAATAAAATTTGTTTAAATAATCAATTTGACGGTTTTCTAACAAGCTAACTTTTCATTGTTGGTAAACAGGTTCTTATAAATATAATGTGTGTTGAGTTTCACAGTTTCAGTCTTTGTGAAACCTGTTTAAAACAGATAGAAACAATCGTTCAGCGAAATCAATAGGAATGCAATTCCTTTTTTTTCAATTAACAGTACTTATCAAGCAGGATTAAATCTATCTTGGCATTTTTCAGAGTAAAATCAACAAAAAGTTTCGCAAATTATGGTTTTTACATCGAAGGCTTGAGGAAAGTAACAATGAACAGTTTCTACAATCTTGGACACAGCTGTAGTAACATTCACATGTAGTCCAACATCTACCTCCCCCCCCTCCCCCGCATTCAAAGCTTCTGTATGTGTACTTCAATAGCAGTGATATCAAAATAGGACTGAGGGGGGATGTGCAAAATTTCAACACTGTCTGTAATTGTTGAAGATTCGATTCGAAATTCAAAAACTTTGAATTTTTATTTTCTAAGTTCAAATCAAATCTTTCAATTGTTGAACAACAACACCTCTAAACATTGGTATACTAAGAACCAACATATAGAGAAAGTCACGTTGACAATGAATAAGTTCAATCATAAGCCAGAAATTCTGAAAATTCTGAATATTCTGTAAGTCATATCGACATGCTAAATTCTTTTTGTTCCGGCTACCTTATCCAGACAACAAAAGGCATCTAAGATGCTCATAGCCGATGTTGATGAAGGATACTCTAAGGGGGTCAGTCCCCGGTTTAGCGAGTACATATCATCGTCCCCTAACTGGGTGTCAACAACCCGATCTCATGCGCCCCTACCCTGGGCGCCAGACTCACTATATTGTCAACAAAGTCAGGAAGCAAATGGTATTCACTGGTCTGGTCAGCTGCAGCCCTTGCCTATCCCATATATAAAGTGAGTCCGGTACCCAGGGCAATGCCCCCCTTGATAAAATAAGTATTTCAGATAATGTTAGCGTTAAAAATATTCAACATTTACAGCTTGTAACTCAAAATATTTTACTCCACATAAAGAAACTCAGGACCTAGGCATTTTAAAACACAACGTCCAAATTTAAGCCCCATCTCATATTTCTGTCGAGTTTTACTTCTAGAAGAAACTTTGCTTAACAATGCCTAAGCGCGAAAGAAGGGAAGATGCGGTTTTAAAAATCACATAAAAACTTTTATACCATGAAGATTTTAATTGTCTTGAAAGAACAGGCAAGTTTTGAAACAAGCCTTCAATACAAAGGAAAAACGTTAAAAACTATTAAGATATACTAGTTGATCCCGTACCGTTCGAATTTTTTCATAACATGTTTCCTATCAAATATACAACTTTATTGCTTTTCTAGTTGGACAAATTTGAACGTTAATCAATCATTTACAATAAGTTCATAACATGATATTACTAGTTTTAAATATAACTCGAGTTTGCTGTTAGACTATGTTTTTGTAGCAAATTACAGCCTGGTTGTAATAAGTGGCTTTAGGCAATCACGACCCACGCATCGTTCTTTCAAGGAAAAATAAGACATGTTGCCATTTTCTCGGCAGAAAGGCAAATAGATTTCCAGGGATGGTAATGTATTTTAGAACCAAGCTGCTATTTACTCTTCTTAGCTCTGCCACTTAGCTCTTGATAAAAATTTAATAGTGCCTTGCTCCAATTTGAAAAACTTGATAATGGTGCAAAATTTCTATACATTCTGTTAAACTGAAGACAGCATATAAATTGAATTCTGGTTAATGCAACTGGTTCCTACGCTATCTTGCAACTTTGTGCAGTACTATAATTACTGATGGAGCATTGGTGTCTGCAACAGTTCCCTTAGGCCGGGTTGGAGTCGTTCTGTCACGGTGACTCAGATTGATAGGCTTGTATGAATCTGAGTTCATACTGACCAACATTATACCCGCATATTTCTGCATCATAAGAAGCCCAGGCAACTGATTGAAATTGGATTTTAGTAGTTAAATTCAAACTCCCTTGACACAACCTCGGAGCTACGAAAAGAAACCTCGTTCATGCGATAATTAATTCTGGGCTTTTTTACGTAATGATTCTGTGATGTCTTCAAATTTTTTCTTCTGAACCCAGATCGTAAAACAAAATGGTAAAAGGTTCAAGGTTCGTCAATATGAGCAAAAATATATTTTAATTTCTAAAAAAAGCAATCTTTTGCCAGTTAAACCAGGCAGTAAAAACATAAAACAAACTAATGGCTTTAGTAAACTAATGACCATAGTGTCATAACGAATAAAACCCAACTGCTATTTTCATTTTAAGAAAAAAATATTTTCTTAAAAATTTAGTAAGTTTAGTGAGAATTTAGTAAGTAAGTACGATATTTCGACAAAAGCGTAAAAATCACGATATCCTACAACGGTTCTGCCAATAGATTTAAAATAAATGCTTCATAAAATAAATTAATGCAAAATTTACAAGTTTATGATAACGTAAATATATTGTACCATTGATAAGACATCCGATTGATAAATTATGAAAATATATTTTCAAAATGACTTGCGGAGAAATGGAATGAATTGTAAAATCCGGCTCAGAAAAGGGGTCTGCCAGGAAGCTTTCGAAGTCATAATCTTCCAGAAAAATGGTCCGACTACTAGGCTGAGCATCGTTACTGACAAAATCACGAGGTACACCTGCAAAAAGGGATGATCGTGTTGAAGACGAGATTAATCTATTAAAAGTACATTCAAATGCTAAGCTTGAAAATCAGGAATTACTTAAGTATGTTAAAAGAGCAAGATTTATGGGAATGTTGCGTATCTTGATGCAGCAAAATGGCTCCGATTACTCAAAAAATAGTGGCAAAGCAATGGGAGAAGTCTGCCAACAGTTACCAGTATAACTAAAGAAATATGTAAAAATAAGCTTAACCGAATTCTTTTTTAAGATGAAATAGCCTGTGGCTTTTTGAAGCTATAAAAAATTTCAAGATAAATAGAAATCTGTTTATGTTATAAATTCGGATTAACTTTTTACATCTACACGGAATATTGTACAGGCTGTGAGTAATAACATCGAAAAACAAACCACAACCTGTCATAACAGCCTCGATTCCCGCTTGAGACTAGCTTGGCAAGTTGTTACTACACCCTCAGCCTCATTTTGAGACAAGCTTGGAAACTTGTCACAATAGTTGAACTCCAGCTTGAGGGAAGCTATTCTACTTTCTTTGTATTCAACTTCCTTAATTCGTAGTTTAGTTTCTGTGTTATTTCTATTTTATTTTGTTAGCAGGGCACCCCTCCATAATGATAAACTCGTCATAAATGAATTGTTTCGAATGAATTGAATGAATTGAATGTATAACAACTAATCACAATGGCGGATTTAGGGAGGGGGCAGCTAGGGGCAGTTGCCCCTCCCTCGACGTGTTGAAGCAAGTCTGGCGCCCCTTTTTTTTAAATTGTGCGCCCCTTTTGAAGAATGAGAATCAGGTGAAAAGTTTATGAGGCCGATAGGTTAGTTTGCTTCAAGGATTACCTCAAAGTTATGTTGTTTATTCCGAAAATGGATCTGAAATTGTTGTATACAGCGTACTCTCGTCATCAATTTTTGAAAATTTTTCAGCGCCCCCACTACCAACTATCCCTCCTTCAAGTTTGTTCTGGATCCACCCCTGACTTATCAAGCAGGGAACTTCTAAATTTTACCGAAAGCTTTACACGAAACCAGGAGCTTTTTGAGAAATTTTAGGATTGCTTTTGGCAGTTACATTTTTACAGATTTCGTATTTCTTTTCTACATCCATCCTTGTTCAAGAAATTCAGCAGATCTCAAATAAACTTTCCGTTTTTGATTGTCTGTACATTCTTTAAATAGGCTTTGTAAAACAAGCCATTCGTTTATCAAAAAAAGTTGATACCAGGCAGCATGAATAAAACAGCAAATCTAAAAATCAACAAACTCTTACTTCTCTGGATATCAGCGCAAATCTTCGGGCTCTGCTGCTGAGCACAAACGAGAATTCACTGATTTGTAGAAGACCAGAAGCAACAAACCATTTTGACTGACTCCCTTCAGGCAACAGATATCCCAAAACGACGGATGCCACAGAAAACTGAAAAATATTAAAACATAGTATAACATCGATTGGTTCACTTTCCTCGTTCAGAAAATCGCTGAAGTCGCATTTACTTTAATCTTTCCTTTCAGTATAGCCATCGATAGGGTCTTGTTGAAAAATCTATGGCATTTCAAACAATAAAGAAACATCATTCCACGATTTCAAGATTGCTCAACGGACTGTAAGGACATCTCCAGCCAAACTTGCATTTGTCTTTTTTCGTTACGCTAAAGGAATCAAGTCGTCTGATCATGAAATTGTAATATATCTTAAAATATTGTTCATAGTTTGTCAGTTACAGCCGGTTGTATTTCAAAAATGGAGCGGAATTAAGAGGAAAGGAATTTTCGGATTTGTAAACACTGTGACGTAAACTGATATCCGCATGGCATCGTTTTCTTATGTAAAGCGAACATAAATACGTGTAATGATAAGAAGTTACAGTTTTGTTGCATTCGAGGATATGTTTTATAGTTTCCAAATGTAAATGTCAAACTCGCGGTTGTTTTGCAATACAGGAAAAAGTAAACAAAATACTCATATTAGTTCAAGCAGAAATACAGGAGGGAAAAATCGAAAGGCCTCGGCCATAGTCAGTAGGTCACAATGTCGATCAGAGCGATCAACCGAAACTGACAAACATCGAATTTTAGTATCTATAGGGTTATCAATAAGGTATAATTTAAACTTATTAGTTTATTCTGTAGATTTGATTAAGACGCAGTGATGGTCTTCTAAAGTTACTTTAAAGGCTCTTGTGCAACCGGCATCCTTGGCGGCAGCTGTCTTGAGAAATTGATTGTGTTTTGTATTTTCCTGTAGTACAATATTAGGCCGTTTTTAAAAATATAGTCGCAAAGCATGATGATTGCGCAAGAGCTCTATGAATGCATAATTTCAGAGTAAACAAGGAATTTACGCGCAAGAGCCGAAGATTGTGATGTCACAGTGTCACCAAATTCATCAGCCTTTGTTCCGTTTCTTCTCAGAAAGGGGCAATTTTTCAGCCTTAAAACTTGATAAATTAAGGAGATAGCAATTTTATCATACTACACGCAGCAAAAACATGCTCTAAAGACCAAAGATTTTCTAGCTGGGGTGGCCCTTAAAAATAATTCTTGAAACGACCTAAACAATTAAAGACATAATATTCGATGCAAGGACCAAAAAGAAAGGCTTCTTAATATTTTTTTCAAAAAAAGCTTCAAGTCAAATTAGTGAAGATAATTGTGATTTCGTGCGTAGAAAAAAAGGCATAATGAAAATCAGTGTTTCTCGGTCTGTCAGTGAGTGCTCGATGCCGTATATAGAAAGAGCTGTACACGCAATTTGGTATATAGAAAAGGAAGGTTCTAAGTAGCTACTCCGAGTTTCACGCTCACCGCGATCATCAGGCAACTTCGGAAAAAAGATAAATGTATATGTATATGTACTACCTTGAAGAGAACAACCATTGCTGTTATTGGAATCATAATTGCGATTTCTGACAACACAAAAGCTGGAAAAACGTGAAGACCTGAAATGAAAGGAATGTATCAACAAATATTTACTTGATGGTACATTGGTCATTGATGGAATTTTTGAAAGCTTAGTGTATTTCCTCTACTCCTGTGACCTATTTCTATCAAAAATTGACGAATCACAGATGCTAATAACACAGCAAATGGAATAATTGGAAGAAAAGGAAGAATTTTCCAGCTGTTTGTTCAAGATAATGGATTTGTCTGGCAGAAGATCACATTTATCACCTTAAACATTTGGCAGGTTTATTGTTCTGAGAATTGGGTCAGATTGGTCAGAACACGCCTGTCAATCAGATAAAAGACCAATCAAACGGCGAGTTGAGAGAGGAACAATGGGACTTGCCGCTTGATTTCTGCCAGTGGCTAGAGACAAGGAATTTGAACTCCCCGCCAAAAGCACAGGCTAGCTGGCATTGTGCTCTTGGGTACAATATCTTTACTAATCCTGAGAGAATCAAAGAGAAATACTCAGTTCCTATAGCTGAAATAACACTTGATTAGACAACAGTAGATAAACTAAAAATTATTTATTATAACTGGTACAAGATGGACCTTTTCCCTCAAATCTCAGCATCCCAACTGAAACATGAAAGAACATTCCAACTTGATTTCTGTTACGTCAGAAAACAAAACTGCATCTTGCTTGACTTTTACTTTAAATAATAACTTCAAACTAATTGAAAGCAGCACGTAGATATTTAATAATACTGACCAATCGATGCAAAGAAGATGCACGAAAAAAAGTCTCGGATTGCCTCAATATACGAAGATGCCTGCAAAAGAATGGCAGTCTGGAAATTTGGAAACAAATGCGTTATCGTGAAATCAAAAGTCGAACCTTTCCAAATACTTTTCCTTCATTCAATCACCCTTCTCTATTTCTCCAAACAATCGCCTTTACTCAATCGATCACCCCTCTCTCTCCCTCTTATTAATGATGATTTTAGGGCAATCGGAAGCGGGGACTGCGACACCCCTGTATTTGCCCACCTATGCGCCATCTTCCTCGCAAAAAAGTATTTGATGGGAAATAGTACGCTTAAATTATACTTCAAATAAGAAGAATTGTATGATGTGGGGCATTTATACCATTATAATGTTCTTCGTGTGATTTGTTCTTCATAGTTAACAAAACTATCAATATTATTTATTGGGTTAAGAGGAGCGTGAAATAGTAGTTCTCGGGAACGATACACCAAGAGATCATTGAGAGTGTTAAGTTCATTTCTGGCTTTTACAACGGGAAATTTTTTCTAATACAGAGGCCAATCAAGAATCCCAAAGGCTGGCACTCAATATACTAACAGGAAGGGAGGTCAGTGCAATTTACAAAACCGCAATCATTCAGATTATATTGAAATTAATCCTAAAAAATTTGCTTTCCATCGGCTACAAATCTGAGAACTTGAACTTCAAAAAACGAAAAGAAACGTGTCCCTCAGTACGTTTCAATAATATGTTACTATAATATATCAAATTCAGTTAAATAAAATAAATCATACATTATGTAAAATTCCATTTAAAACCATTGCAATACCTACAATTTTTTTCTCATAAATCTATTTATTTTTTACCTATAAATGCTATGGGTTCCAAAATGTCTGATGGAATCCATTATGCTTTAATGTTGAGTAACCTACCACAAAGGGACCCTTGTCATTTTCAATGGTTAAAGTTATTGTTTATACGTATGAGGTAAGTTTAAACAATAACGAAAAGGCATCGAAGTTGAGCACTTGCCTAGTTTAGATTTTTTCCTTTAGTCCAAACAAATAGTGCAGCTCAGTAGCTGGAAGTTTAAAGTATTCAAAATTGATCTAGGAAATCAAATAACAGACAAAAAACATAAATATTTGATGTGTGCCTTGGTCCTTGTTGTATTTGTTTTAGACTAGGGCAGGCAAAATATCCTGTGTGCAGTCTGTTTTCTTGGCTTAATATAAAACAACCGACGAAAGCTTTGTTTTGAAAACTCCATTGTTTTAAGACTCAAAGCAACGAATTTCCAATACTCCCTCAATTTTACCTGTTTACAAATTTGATCTCCTTGACTACTAATTACTGCACCACATATAAAACAGCCAAGTTCCATAGAAATGCCAAGGTGATCTGTTACCTACGAAAAATAATTTCAAGGCAGCTGTTTATATAATCGAGTGCAATCGGCAAAAGGGCTGACAACAACAGCTAAAACTTGTCATCCCCATTTATAACTTTAATCAAGCAAGAAAGTACTTTACGGGGAACAAGAGCCTTGATTGGTCTTTGCTCGGTCTTTGCGCAAAAAGGGGTTACTTTTCAGCCCTATTACTTAAAAAATAACAGGAGTTTAGTAACGAAAACAACTTTGTGATATTAAGAGAAAAGAAATTTTAACTCATTAGACTTAATACACACAAACGACCGCGGGTTGCTCGGTAAGAATAGCTCCTCAGTGTCTTAAAACTTAAAATCCTCAACCAAATAAGCTGAAGCACTGCAACATTAGAATTCAAAAGTTGGCTATCTACGCCGATAATCAGCGTTGCTACTTAAGTATGCAGCCCATACAATGTTGATCACTTAAACGATGCATTTACATAACCTATCCAGATGAGATTTTTCACGAAAATAATTGAATATTGAAATTAAGCAAAATTTTTATTCATGGGGGACAACTGTTTTCAGTTTGTGCAGGTGTTCTTAAAATCAAGGCAAAGATTGTACCTTCGGATGCTAAGCAGAAAAAGAAAGAAAACAAAACATCTTGTTTGAAAATGTTACTAATAAGCTAAAAAAAGAAAAAAATGAGCAGAAGTTTTTAGGCATTTTAGCTTAAAATAACCTCTGTATAAGACAAAAGGTAATCTTTTTGCCAATTCTGTTGCAAATTGACATTCGTTATAAGGCATTAACGCAAAGATAAAATGTAATGTAGACCGTAATTGTAACGTCACACTGACCATAAATTATGGGTAAGAAACTTTTAAGCTTCTAGTCACCGAATCTTTTGAAGACACAACTGTAGGTAACAAAAATTTTCCATCACTGCTGCCCAAGATTTTACAGATTTTTCACAGATCCAAGGTAAAACCTGGCAAAACTTACCAATAACATTGAAAACACAATTGTTATCGTTCCAACCACACCAACCTCGTTTTTTCCAATATAATTTAATAATCTAGAAATGAAGAAATAAAAACGAAAGTTCAGCTGATAAAAAGTAAGTAGCAAACTATATAAAAGGGTTAGTTTGAAGAAATTATTCAAAACTGTAGCTGAAGATCATTTTACTGTAGCCAAAGACTACTAAAAGAGTTGATTATTTCTGCTTGCTTGATCTATCGAATTATTGAAAGCTACAAAACTGGTAAACTCACTCTCTAAGTCTACGTCTTTCCACAGAAAGATGATTTTAATGAAAATTAGGACAATTAGAAATTATATTGCAGTGTTAATTGCAGCTCTTTGCAGGTTATTGACTGGATAAGCCAACAAAAGGTAAACAATGATGAGTGACAGAATGAACAATATTGATTCAAAGCAATGATTGAAATAACTGTAAATAAAGGCCTGATCTGTCAATAAAAGCTTCTGATGTGAGAAGATTTCATCATTTACAATGCCTGCCAAAAGTACTTGGAACACCCACCAATTTACACTGCATTTGATATCTTTCATTCCTTTCATGAAAAAAATTGCTTCTTCGGCCCCCTTTCCCCTCAAACAATGTTGATGATTTAGAGAAATATCATAAAAGAAGCGCAAAAGAAAGTGCTTCCTAAAATCCTAACCCGTTTGATAGTAAACCAACATTGTTCTGTGGGGGAGAGGGGGATGATTGGTTTTGACCTTGGAAATTGATGTCAGTGTTCCAAGGCTTTTGGCAGGCATTGTAGGAGGGAGGTGCTCAGTTTGACATTTGATTGAATCTAGATAGAGCTAGAATGTACAAAAAATTGGCTCAAATGAAAACACAATCAACCCTACAAATGGAGCTGCAGAATTATTAGCACTTAGGCTTTGTTTAAACTGTAGTTTTACACAAAAGCATATATGTATTTAAGTTATTTAGTTACTACATAATTGACTGATGTCTTTAGAGCATTGCAAACTAACCTAAAATATCTTGAGATGAAATGTGTTGCTAAAAATCCACTAATAAATGTTATGAGCAAAATTGCCAGTATGAGTTCTAACGATGACCAAAATGTTGTTAAGATGCTGTCGACAATGTCTATGGATAAAATGAAGATGATTGATTATCACAAATTCAGAAAATCTTGTGTAGATTTATGTGATATTATTGAAATTGATATTGAATTCTTACATGTTAGTTAACAGCAATATTTATTAAATTATAAGCTTCATTTGTGTACAAGCCACCTTTAATTATAAGCCTTAGCAAAAACACACAAATAATAATTATAAACCCCACTATAATCAAACATATATGGTAGTTTCAGAAAGGCTGCACAATAGGGATAATTTTGTATGCAATTAATGTACATTATATCATTCATTTTACAGTAAATGTCTGACGTTTTAACAACACCATAATATGACATGTGTTTTAATAATAAAACTAAAATATCATTATATAAACACTGATACATTACAAAAGCAAATATTTTTTGTGTAATTTTGAAAAATAAGTTTGAAAATCAAGTATCTGTTAAGTAAGCTAAGGATCTGCAAATTTAAGTTGGTATGTTACGACTAACAAAAATGCCCTTTTAACTGCAAAAACGGCACTGCTAATTTGGGGGAGCCCAAAGTCATAGGTATTTCCAGTTGAATTGACAACATTTACGTTAAATTTGCACCAGATAAAAGATTTAGAGATAAAATGAAAATGAGCTTAGCTTCTCTGTATTCTGAACAAATTGACAGAGCAATAGGTAAAACAAAATATAATTTCTAATCAATAAGATAAATAAACCTTTTGATCCAGCATGACTTGCACCATGTAGCCAGTAATGAATCACACCCTGATTTGGTAGTATAACAAATGAGGTTTTACTTTGCTCAAAATGCCCTGCCAGAATGGGCAATATCCCCATGACTAAACCAATCTGCACATCTTGCATGAGAAATATGCCAGCCAGAATATTCAAGTAATCTTCGCCACTTTCAAGGGTTAGATGGTCTATGAAATGGCAATATAACATTTAAGTTTGCATATTCTCATCATCAATTGAAATTAGAATACATTTGAAATGGATGAGTTAACTAGATGCAATTGCAAAAATCAACATTCCAAGACATAAGTTTGATAAAATTGCAAAATAGACAATCTAGAAAAGCAACAACAAAATGCCAGAGTTGCAGCTTACAGAATATGAATGGAAAAATGTGTCTTCCTTTCAACAGCCGAGAAATTTACAGGATTTCATAAAGAAATATTAATTTAGCATGAAAAAAGAAAGTTTATAGAAATCAAAATACTTATTTCAAATTAGATTGAAAATTCAGACAAGTCTGAAACAGATTTCCAGTTTTATGACTTGAATATATCTATGTTGGACTGTAGCTTACAGATGTTGAAATTTCTTTGCAAGATTACCAGCTCTGCAATTATACTCCTTGAATCTTGCAGAAGATATTATCAGTGGATTATGACTTTAAACATATTTACTGGCTGAAAAACAAAATGAAATGAAAAAACTTTGGTTGAAATTATGCAAAAATGAGTCCACACAACTTTATTCAGCAAATACAGTATTAAAAATTCCACAGTCTTGTAATTTTTTACTACAGACAGCATCATTTTTGATCAATTATATGAGGTTTTTGGCATTTTCCTTTCTAACAACAAACACTCTTTAGAGCATAAAAGGAACTGTTTATCATTAAAATGAATTAAATACCTCTGTTTTGGTTACTGTTGACTGCCATTATCTTACTCATTATTGGTGTACTGGACATTGAAAGGCAAGTTGCAACAAACAGGCTTTGACGAGGATTGATGCCAAACATTGTTCCAATCACCAATCCAATGGTATTGAGCAAAAGTGCAATAATAATAGCTGCAGTGAAGGAAGTTCTCCACACCTAAAATACAATAGAGCTTCATCTGAAAAAATGTTGCACAAAACGAAACTTCTTGGAGAAGTTTGAGTGGTCCAAGGGACACTTAGCACCATCTGGAGGGTAGGGAGGGGGCTCTAAATGAGTGGCAGAATTTACTATGGTAGTTTGTCACAATTATCTTTGATGCCAAAACCATGATATCATACTTTAGCCAAAAAGTTGGGGAGGGGGGCTACAGCTACAGGCTCTTGCCCGCATTGGCCCATAAACAGCTTCAAAAACAATATGACCAAAAGCCTACTAATAGAAGTTAATTATCGGAACATAATTTTCTGAAACTAACCAGAAATGACTGGATGATTTTTATTGCATTACATAGATTTCATTACATGACTATCATGTCTTTCCAAAATATCAAAATTTAAGATTATCATGTCATACCATTTTCTAAAACTGGGTTACTGACAAGTTTTTACTTTTTACAGTCTTGTGTTTCCAGATTTCCCCTCACAGGAATGTTCAGAAAACGCATTATCTCTTGCTGCTGGACAATAGGAATCAAAATTGCTGTCTAGAAACAATATTTCATCCAATCACAACAACTAAGTAATGCAAGGGGGTACCTGCTTAATTTTCTCAAAAGAAAATTCCAATCCAAGCACAAACAGTATGAAGAAAACACCAAACTCTCCAAGTGTTTCAATCTGTACAATGCACTGAAAAGTAGAAATTGAAATCATATTTTGACATAATTCCAGAAAAAAACCACTGATAAGGCAAAATTTTTGAGATGATCTTTACATGTTTACAAGACAAAGGTCTTGGGAAAAAGTCTTTATTAAAGAACTCCTTGTAAAATATGCCTGCAAATTACAAAAATTGAATTAAGAAAAGGGCATTAACAATCAGAGAAATTGCCAATAACAAGCAAAGATAACTGCAGTTATTAAAATACTTTTTTAATTTTCAGTATGTTTGCTTTCAGGGTTATTTCCTTCTGATCAAGAAAAGCTAGTCACTATTGAGGGCAAGTGTTACTCTGAATTGAATTGTAAGTTATTAGTTATATTGAAAGTTGTATCTAAAGTGCTTAGCAGATTGGCTGGACAAACAATGACAAGTTTTACTTACTCGTAAAAAGTTTATTCCAGAGGGACCAAGCACAATTCCCGTTAATATGAATGCAACAAGGTTTGGCAGCTTTAGCCAGCTACACGGAATACTGAAAGCTAAAGAGAATATTATTATATAAATAATATCTTTCATCAAGCTACTATCAACATGGGTGACTGTACCATCCTTTGGTTTGGAAAGGACATACTGATTATTCTGGGAGTCAATCAGCATTGTAACACTGTTGCTGTCAGTGGAAGTTTGTGAATCGTCCTCATCAAGACGTAAAACTGTCTCAATTCCATATTTCTTGGTTTTTGATCTGTATTTCTTGTGAAATGAACCATCATCTAATTGAAGTTCCAATTTATCAGCAGCACTAGCAATATCAGCCAATAAAGTATCAATAAATTTTCTTATGGGTGTATTCTGCTTTGATACATTGTCAAAACCCTTTTTCTTCAGTTCAGAAATTTCGTCTTTTTCAGCTTGCAGAATATCATTGAGTTCCTGCTCTTCTTCTAATGTTGCTTTTTTCAGTTCCTCTAATCTTTGTTTGCTAGTCCTCTCTAAGTTCCGCAAAGACTTATAATCACCTTTCAATACCCGCTGCAAACTATGTATTGACTCATATAAAAGAGTCTCTGTTTCATTTATTTCTTTTCTAAACAAATTAATGGCCCTGATCTGACGCTCCCTTGTTGCTTTGTGGATACCCTTGTCTTCCTGTACTCCTTTCAGAGCATTTTTTAGCTTCAGTTCTATGCGATGTTTGAGAATAAAGAGTTGATTCAAACCAAGAACTGTACAAGGATCCTCTAAAGGCACTTTTTGTGGGTTTCTGTTCTTTATAACCACTGAATTCTTAACATGTTGATCACCTGATTTCCTGATGCCAATCTTCTCCCCGCTTGTTGCATTGAAAATAGCGGCAAGAATTATCAGTATAAGTATACCCATGCTTGGTAGGTATCAATGATCCCCTAAGTTAAATGCAAAGATGCATATGAAGTGCGAAGCTCCCGTTTACAGGACATTCCGACTACACCTCGAGTTTCCACGTTCAAAGATTCCGGCACCACAGTGGCATTTTATGTCTAGGCCACATCGCAGCCTCCCTTACATTTTCGCGCTACATTTTATCGTCGCTGAGCAACCACGTGTCAAAGGGGTTCCTCTTTTTTGAGAATCGACAATTAAAAAAACGTGGAAAAACGAACGAAACACAAAGAGATAAGAAGAGCATAAATGTGAAAATGCAAGAAAAAGAGAAGATTCTCTTCGTTTGTAAGATGGTTTGAAAATTAACCCAAATGAACTATATTTTTTATAAGAAATTGAATTATCAACAACCTAATACTAGGATGGCCAAGAATTTAGAAACTTTGGTACTAGGCTTAAGATAAATTAAGAAATATTCATTTTTAAAGAAAGAGTCCATCGACTGTAGGCTTTCCAAGATGATCACCTAACGCATCTGATGATTTAGAATTTAGAAGACAACACATATTTTGAGAGATAAATTTTTATCTTCTTGGGTTTTTTCGTGATGATTTGCGTTTATATTCTTCAAAAAATAATCAGCTTTTAAACATGCAATTATGCATAATATGCAATTTTAGGTCCCGATATAAGAAACAAACTAAGAAACATTTAGTAAGCTGAATCCCAAGTTAAGAAACGTTTAGTACTTAGTGATGATCCAAGCTTTTTATAAAGAACGTGCAACAGGGGGAGGGGTAGGAATTAATGGGGAGGGGCATTTTTGTCTATTCATAAACCAAATCATATTATTTTGAACATAGCTTCGGTGGAGCGTAGACGTAAATGAAACTCCACATCGTTGATCTCAGTGGCGGAGCCACGGGGGGGGGGAATGGGGGGGACTAGTCCCCCCCACTTTTTCAGAAAATTGGTCCTTTAGATTCCCGATGAGAAAACTTCAGGGGGGGGGGGTATGTACGTTATCTAGATCGTCACATGTAAATGACATTTCTTGGGAGACAACAGGTGTTTCATCTCGAAGAAAAAGTTTCAAACAGGGGGACAGGGCGTGGCCCAAATAGGCGTGGTCCCTGGAGCCGCCACTGGTTGATCTTGTCTTTAGATATATACAAAACGTGACTATATACAACTATAACGTAACCGTAACTTGTTAGCCCATCATAATCTTATAGCATGACTTTATCGTAACATCACTACTTCAAAAGCTTTACCTTACAATAAAGTTCGTGAATATAACACGTAAGAAAACTGGGCCAAGTAAGAATCCCCCAAAATGGCGTGGGCTGCGAAATGTACTGACTTCACAATAGATATGCAAAGTGCAGAAAAAACAACCTCAAACCTGCAGACAGCGAGACAACGCAGTTATAACTGAATGTGTCAAACACAAATGTTAAAGTAATATCAATGATTTCTTCCCCTGGTTTTCCTTGGAGAACAGTAAAAAATGATAAGCGGGGGATGGTCATAACAAGAGCGGGAGAGTTCGGCATATTTTCGGAAAAAAATAAGCGGGGGGACCACCATTCAGGACAGAAGAGTACGTTGGTCAGAACTGGTACCAAAATCTTCTGCATTTCGTGTGTTCTTTGGCATTCTTTCACGTCTCCGTCCCCATTTTAATAGCGCACTGATTTCTCTGCATTCAGATCCACCATGCCACCATAGCGGCACAGAATAGCGGTATAATGGCATGGTAAAAATACAAAAAATTTCAGTCAGAGTCAGGATAGCCTGCGTCACAGACCATCACCACCCCACCATGGAGGAGAGTGGGGATGCTATGTGACGCAGGCTAAGTCAGGGGGTTTCGTATTGTCAATGGTTGCCGAGTAGACCAACAAGTAAACCCTATACTACCCTCTGTTGGGCTGGGGGGCTGGGGGCTGGAGCCCCCAATAATTGTCAAACTGTAGTGTGTTTCCTTTATAACAGTGCAGTGAATGAGAAGGAAAACAATGGGCAGCCCCCCCCCCAATATAAATTTCGTTCCGACGTCACTGCGAATTGGTTGTGAAATAAATGTCTTTTACGTTTCAAGATGTAAAATGCGAACCAACAAGCTCATAAAATACTCTGTGAAGCTCACTTGAAAGAATTGTGGGTATCTCTTGATTGCTGGCTTTTGATCTTTCGCAACTTTTCTTTGCTCTTACGTTTGTACGTACACCTCGCGGTACACCTCGCGGTACACCTCGCGGTACACCTCGCGGTACACCTCGCGGTACACCTCGCGGTACACCTCGCGGTACACCTTGCGTGTTGAAATATGTGTTGTATAGTTAACATTACGTCATTAGACGACGAGATTACGAGAGATTGCACCACGATATGCAACTCAAAACAAGTTACGTCATGGTATATTTTGGCCGTCAGGGATTGCACCACGAAGTGTAACTCGAAGAAAAATCTTATGATTGGACAAATAATAACAAGAACCCCTTTTCCTATTGGACGTTTGCTTTGCTGGAACTTTTATTGGATGTTTAGATTTATTGCACCATCTATTGTTTAATCTTATATAAATTTGAGCTTTTAGTTTAGAGATTTAGAGAAGTTGTAATTTAGACGCTAGTTTGACGCTGATGAAGATAAAGATAAAGACCAGTCGCCGTTTCTCTCTCTGACGTTCTCCTGCCGCCGCTAAAGTAAAGATTCAGAAGCAAGGTCGTAAGTTAAAGCCCTGAATTTTATTGGTATTTGTTAAAGTAGAAAGAACTCACGCAATTTCATGTTATACTTAACACTGTCGTTCAACCTCAAGTATAACATCTGGTGCCCCGTGTGAGGAATTGTCGAAGATAGAGAAGTTGTAATTTAGACGCTAGTTTGACGCTGATGAAGATAAAGATAAAGACCAGTCGCCGTTTCTCTCTCTGACGTTCTCCTGCCGCCGCTAAAGTAAAGATTCAGAAGCAAGGTCGTAAGTTAAAGCCCTGAATTTTATTGGTATTTGTTAAAGTAGTAAGAACTCACGCAATTTCATGTTATACTTAACACTGTCGTTCAACCTCAAGTATAACATATGTCTCTTAAACATTACGTCTACCGTGTCTCTTGAAACTTCATGGCCTTTGCACAATTTAAATTCAATCTCTTCGAAGGGTTTGAATAGCTATCCCAATTAACACAAGGGAAAAGCATTTTAAATCAAACGACGTGAAATTGGAGATTTCTCACGGCACACCAGATAACATCTCACGGCAGACCAATGTGACACCGCACAGTGGTTGAAAAAAGGAGTTTTACTTAGTCAAGACTTACTATTTTTAAAACCAGCGGTTCTCACATCCCCATTGGTGTGGTTGCTCTTGTCAAGAGTAGAATTATAAAACTTAATAAAGAAAAAATAACCAGCACTTGAATGTGTGGTGTTTTAAATTTTCCTTAGAATAACTCCTGACCTCTACCAAATGTTTTCTTCATAGTTCTATCGTATCCCCTCTAAAGAAGGACCCTCGGTTCCCTGCCCTGAGTACCTGACTCACTCCAGATAAAATAAAAGTTAGTCTCCTATCTTATAGGGAATGAGTCTGGTACCCAGGGTAGATCCTCGGAAGAGAGGGACTGGGGCAAAATTGTCCAGACTTTTATATTTTCTTCAAAATAGTATACTGAATGGGTAGCAATTGAACTGGTGCCACAGTACCAAGCAAAATCCGTATGTTGTTGGTTGCAATGCCACCAAACAAGGAACGTAGAGCATAATTCAAATTGAGGGGGCTAAAACGCTTTGGGGGCTAAACGTATTAAAAACCAAGACAAGGGCGATTTTTTGTATGGTTTAAAGTACAATTTTAAAATTATTGGGGGGCTTTTTTGCATCGTTCTACTGAGCAGGTGGATGTTGCAAGCTAGCATTTTGCTTCGTTCGCGCTTTCTCTTATTGCATCATTGCAAGCAATTGCATGACGTAATGCTTTATTTTTACCTCGTACCTACACGTGTAATGGAGAGAGAGGCTAATAGAATCTAAATACAAGAATAAATTGTGTGTGCAGGGAAGAAAGATTGCAATTAATTTGAAAGTTGCGTATATATAAATGCTGCTCAAGGTTGGTGATAAACATATTCATAGGAAACTGCGTTTGTTAAGAAGCTAAAGCTAACAGTATTTTAAAGGTCGCAATTAACCTATTGGAAGAGAGAGAGAAGCATTTAGGCCATTTCAGCCCGAATAAGCTCTAAAAGAGTGCAAGAGAAAGTTTTGCCTGTTAGTCATCGGAATAAAAGAATAAGCATCGTGCAAAATGGTGATGAGACGGCAAGGAGGTCTTGGATTTGGAGTTTTACTCCTTGCGTCGGAAGTTTACCGTACTGGGTTAGGGAACATTCCTCCTGTAACCCTTGGTTTCCTGGCTTTCAACTGCGCCATATACATGAAGATTCTCCGGGTTGTCCAGCACGTAAGCGAAGCATGCGTGAGTTATAAATTTGTCTGGAAGATGAAGCAATATCGCAGGCTTTTTTTTGCTTCATTTTTTCATCTTGATGATATGCATCTGTACTTCAACATGGTTTCGTTCCTTTGGAAAGGAAGAACACTTGAGAGAAAGTATGGCAGTCGAAAATTCTGCATAATCATTATGGTTTTTGCAATTGTATCACAGATCGTTATGCTATTCATCAACCGTATATTTTCAGTGTTGCTATGGGATCCCTCCTATCTCACTAGCTGTGCTGCAGGGTTTTCTGCTGTTATCTTTGGTCTTAAGGTGCTCACAACAGACAACATGTGGCATGAATCTGTGAGAGTTGTTGGGCTCCCGGTCACTGTTCCAGCTCAGTTTGCTTGCTGGGTGGAGTTGGTGCTGATTCAACTCCTGGTACCAAATGCCTCATTTACTGGTCATCTTGCTGGGATATTGACAGGTTTTGCATACCTGTATGGTCCTTTGGCCCATTTGGTTAACATCATTGACAATATTTTAGGAAATTTCATAGGTAAGGAATTTGAGAAAAGTTGTCTTTAATGTTATTTAGTTTTGCATGGGGAAAGCTGTTGGCAGCAGGACTAGTAGAATTGTAAATTAATTCTGTCATTCAATTGTGTTCAATGATGTTTGCAAGCAAGGGACAATCAACCTATTTTGATGTGTTGGGTGTGGGATATCCAATTCCTAGCTATTGAGATATAGGGTAGCCAAGGGGAAATACAGTAGCAGGGTTGCAGAATAGGGAATATTCCAAGTGCATGTTGTATATGTTGAAAACAGATGGGATGGTGAAATGAATTGTTAGGTATTCAAATGCTTGCCAGAAATGTTCTATGCTTTGTTGAAAGTGGAAAATGTGTTTTGATATTTGACAAATGAATTTTGTAATTTTTAACAATTATTCTTTAATGTTTTTTATCCTTTATTTAGGCCAAGAGGCAACAAGAGTGGGTGCTAGCAACAGAAGCACTTCCTATTCATACAGATCTGGTCCATCAGGTACAATATATACATTGTTTTTATTCCATGCAGCTCAGTGATGTATAGTATCTATCTGTGATACAAAGATTTTCAACTTCAACCTCAAAACAGGTTTCTATATTATTTACTAGCAAACATATTTACCTGTGTCTTTAACTTTTTAGGGTACCAAAATAGATACACAAGAAACCAACAGACAGAAAATATTGATGAAAGGGAGGAATGGGAACTTAGGGAGGCCATAAGAAGGAGCTTGGAAGAGAGAAGCTTCACTGGCTCTGATCCCTATGCACGAAGGAGCAACTCTGAAGACCAATCTCGTCCCACATATGGTTGGCACATCCCTGGTGTTTACACTCAAGAGCATGATGCAAACAGAAGGAGACCTTGGGGCGTGCAACCTGGTGAAGCCAGCAATTTACCCTACCCGACTGGGCCACCACCCGGTGATAATGATGGGTCAGGAAGGCTCTACCCAGACCTGCAAATGTATCCAGAGGCACCACATCAAAGCAGGAGCGAACCAACAGCACCTCCTTTAGAGAATTCTGGTCTATTTGACGTTGATTAGTAAAAATTTTTTAACAGCAACAGGGACACTTTGTAACCACCTAGTTGAGTAATTAAGCACTTAAAGTATAATGGTTTAATTCAATCAGATTAAATGCTTGCAAGAAAGTTGTCCAATATAATATGTAGCATAAATCTAATTTGAACATGGGCACCACTAGGTTGGACAGGCCCCATGGCAAAATGCTGTTAATTTGCACCGAAGATCCCAAAAATATTTTGGATCATGCCCTGTTTTTTTTCCTGGAAACACGCTTGCTCTGAAATTGAAGGCTGAAATGGGCTTATTATGTTGCTTTGTGGCATGGTTAAAATGTTCATCTTTTCTAAATCTTTCTCATAAACCGTCCACTTCGGGTTCTGTTTGTACAAAATAGGTATGAATGCAGTGTTACAAATTAAGACAAAAAAATTAGTTAAATAGACAACTTCCTGGCCCTTCTTGTTCAAACTGTTAATTTTCAAAAACTTTACAATACCAGTTTAAGAGCTTTTTGAGGCAAAAGTGCTGACAAAATCACTAAAGTTGATCTTTTTTAGCAACATCACTTTTAATACCTCAAACACAGCTAAGTCATTCAGTAAGCCATCATTTCTTGTTGTGATGGATCCACTTTGCTATCATCCCCGAGTAAACCATCATCCCTGAGTTCAAGATTGTTGAAAAAAAGTTTTAAACATAAACAAAACAGAATAAAATTCAAATACTTCAATACTGGATTGCAGGCACTTTGGGGCTCTTATGGAATGAAGCCTTACCTGGGATGATGCATTATCATTAAAAAAGAAAAAAAACACCTTATTTTGGGGCTGATCCCACCTATCAATGCAACTGAATTTGAAGCTTTTATTGTTTTGGATTTGATCTTGGAACAAATTTTTTGAGACTCGCTACATTTTTGTGGCAAACGTTGCAAAATAGTAACTGTAAAACTAATGCTCCTCATAATTCCGTACTTTTATGCAGTTTGATGAAGTATTTGAAAAAACTCTCAAAATATTATTATGCAACTTGTAATGAAATCCTCAAAAATAGAGATCCTACATGGTGTTTTCTTGGATTTGCTATTTTCAGGCTTGAAAATTGCATCGGTTTGTTTGATAGTTTTCAGTTAATTAGCACAAACAATGGTGTGCCTAAACTCATTTCTTTCTGCAACAGTGTTATTAATTGATTATTTGCAACATTTGTGATTTATTACTGTAGTATATGTAAAACACTTATTTTTACCAATAAAGGTTTATTGCGAAAGGTGGAAGAATTTTGTCTAGTGGGTTTATCACCTCTCTGTTTTAACAACTTGGTCTACGTTTCACATTTAAAAGAAAATTGCCTTCCCTGGGAATATCCCCCAACTTCCTTTCGAATGTTTTCAAAAATAACATATTTCATTGTGCCAGTTTTCATTTTAATTACGCCCTCTGTGCTCATTAGGACTCTCATCTTCACAAGGAAAGTTTGAAAAATTTCCATATTTCCAAATTTATTGCCATATTGGCGGCTGCAGCCTCCTACACCTACCAATTTTATCTCAATGAAATTTTATTCTAGCCAGACCCATGCACGCCCCCCCCCCCTTAATCGTTTAGCCTCCGTTGGTATGCATAATTTAGACCAAGTGATGACTCCCAAAAGTCTTTGTTTCTCAAGGCTTTCTTTATCTCAGTTTCCTTAAATATAAGGTTATAAATATATTCACAGACCATCGGACCAAATAAATATAAGTATGCAATTGGAGTTCTTGTTCATCTTGTTCTTGTTCAGATTTTACTGGCGATTTCATAATCTCGACTTTTATATAATTTGGTTAGAAATCGTATACAGTTTTAGCAGATTGAAGTCAGCAATGAAAGATCTTGTGGACGCTGAAAGATTTTCACATCTTATAAAAGATTTGGTTTCGAAATCTGGAGATTAAAGATTAATTTTTAGAGATGTTAAGTAATCGCTTAAGTTGGCAGTTATTTCAACATGCTTAAATAATAAATTGATCTTATGTTTGCAAAAACTTTTATCAATGTTGTTTATCTTTCTTTCTTATTGTGATGTGATTGAGTCTACGATCATAAGAAAGATGAATCACCGTGGTTTGGTCACTCATAGAACCAATTTCGCGAGAAAATGAATATTGTGACTTGTGACTAATATGAATTTAACACAGTGTATTCAAGAGAATTTTTGTGGAGTAGTGTCCAGGAAAGTTTTGTTGTCCGTTTTTGGAAAGTTTGCATGTTGTGCATACTTGAGTCACTCTTCGCTCGCTTAAAATAATTTTTAAGAGGCCCTGCTAAATTTCTGCACTGGTACTAAAAAGTTACAGGAAGTACACACAGTCGAGGGATGGGCTAGATAAAATCAACTTTTCTGAACGCAAGCACAGGAAAACCTACCCTGGGTACCAGACTCACTATTTATGAAATTTATATAGTGCGTCTGTTACCCAGGGTAAGGAAAACCACGAGAAACTTCACATCTATTAGGTACTCTTATTAGATCTCATCTTTTATTAGATTTCGAATGATTGTTTTAAGTAGCGAATGGCTTTATCTAGAAATCTGAGAACCCAAAACTGTAAATCGAAGAAACCCTTCGAAGAATGTTGTTTGATCAAGGATTATTGATATCACCCTCTCTCCATGTAATAGGTCTGGAACCTAATATAATAATCTATGATAAAAATGCCTCTGATGCTTTACCTGTAATCGAAGGTTCAATAATGTATTACGATTGTTGTGCCAGTATTTAGTGGCGTATTTAAGGGGGGCACCTAAAATATTGCCCCTCCCTCAGCGAGTTGAAGCAAGTCTGGCGCCTTTTTGAAGAACGGGAATCAGGTGAAAAAGTTTTTGAGACCGATAGGTTAATTTGCTTCAAGGATTACCACAGAGTTATGTTGTTTATTCCGAAAATGGATCTGAAATTGTTGTATACAGCGTACTCTCGTCACCAATTTTGACAATTTTCCAGCGCCCCCACTACCAACTGCCCCTCCTTCAAATTTGCTCTGGATCCGCCCCTGCCAGTATTATCAGTCAGTTCGTGATCTTTGACAACTTGGGACAAAAATATCTGTCTGTTGTTGAGAGGTGCCCATAGAGTTATCTGTAAATAGAGGTCCACTGTACCTAGGAGTGGTTAGGGTCACGGATTCGCAGATCCTAGAGTCCGGGACTTGAGCCCTTGCCATGAACATATTATCATTCAGTGCCATAACAAAACTCTCACTGTGAGTGAGAAGTGACGCCAGCTATCTGTTATTTCAGCCATAGGAATCACAAAGTGTGGTCATATCGAAAGGAAGCACTTGGATCCTGCTCGATAAGCACTTTTTTGCTTGCTCTGAAAAAATACCTACCATAGCTTAGTAGATACAAAATCTAAACGCAATAGAATGCATCCATATCAGTATATCCCTTAAGGTCTTGCACAAATTGTAATGCTTCGAAGATTTTTGCCATAACATCCGTGAAAAAATTAAGAGACTCTACAATATTAATAAATAATATTCATGAATAAATTATTATACTGGCGATATTTTTGATCAAAAATTGCATTTCATCGACTTCAATTCAGTGCTAAAATTTTTGTATCTTTTTATAGCAAATTCTAATTAAACGGATGACACCATTTTTCCTAATACCCTTATGGAAGGTATCAAGTTATATTCTAGGAATCTCCGTACACGAAAATGTAACTAAGGTTCTGTGTGGTTTAGGGAAAAGCCACATGTGTGAGGTAAAAGGTATTACGTATCGGGTCTTTAATTTGTTTGTAACAGTTGCTGTGGAATGTAACCAGCAAAAAGACGTGTTTCAATGGCCTAGTTGAAGCTAACTGGTTTCACGTGATTTACGACAAGTGTATCGACAATGACGCAAGAAGGGTACTTGGAGTTACAAGACTGGCACTTTGATTCATAGAGGCAGGGCAGAATGAAGTTCCTGGTATATTGGCTTCGTTAATAGCGGAAAGGCTGGACCTTTGAATTTTAAGTTGCCTGTTCTCATGATAAATACTTAATGGAAATCTGTGACCATTTCAACATTTTGAGGATGCAGAAACAAAATTCTCATGATAGAAGAGACAATTCTTTTGGAAGAAATTTGCGGCTACGCTCAAAGTTATCGTTGGTAGTATCGCATAGATCAGAAAGCCGTCGCAAAGCAGGCGAAACGAAAGCAAATTTGGAAACGGAGGCTGTCCAGGTGGAGCAAAAGAGCCCTTGGAAATGGACGGAACATCATTCTGTTGAAGTAGGAGATTCATTCCATGGGCTAAGCAAGGATAAACGCAAAAAGTTGCATCGGAAGACAGGGACACTGTACAGTGTTCATCAGCTTTTAGAGCTTAAGACGTCCCAGTTATCAAAATGTTATTTGCCAGAAAGTAAACGAACTTGTTTCGAGACGGTGGAAGAGCAGTTACGAAGGTATGCAATAAACACATGTCGAAACTTTAATCGAAAATGCTCGTTACCGTCATTATTTGGGCGCGATCGAAGAACGCCGAAACTGGATATAAGTGACCGGCCACGAAGTGACCTCGCCGGACAGATCAAGTGGGTGTCCGGTGATTTGGCCATTCATCCGTGGTTGGGCCTAGGCACAGCCGTTGCAGGAAGGAGCCGGGGTAGTCTGAATACGTTTTCAGTTGCTAGCATATCACCGAGCCTGCCAACGATCACAGCCGATGATTCACAAGAGGAGGAGCCATCAGAGCTTTAACACAAATATCTGCTAATGAGTGATACGATAAAGTGGCTTTGTTATCTTCAGGCTGGGCGCACGCAGAATATGGCAATGCCGGCGCAACGGGGAAACACAGCCCCCCCCCTAGATTCTCGACAGAATCGATATGGTATTTCGTGTAGATTCAATGAAAAAATTTAAGAGAAGGGATATTATTTTGGCAAAATACTCTTTGTGATGTGACTCTTTGATTTGAAACTTCTTTTATTTAGCAAATATGTTAGTCATGGGCAATCCCTACTGGTTAAACTAGCGTTCCCTGTTGGTAAAAGGGGCATGGCTAAATGCTTTTATTTTGCCCCCCCCCCCTCACCCCACAACCTAGTGGCTGGTGCCGCCACTGGAGTCGGGTACATTTAGCTTTGCCCTTTTCTGAATCTGATTTGGAACTTTTTTGTGCGTACGCTGATGTTCTAACGTAAAATAAATGCAATTTACTGATGATGTTTTCTTCCTGATTTCATGTTGACGTAAGATTTTGGGTGCAAAAAGAGAGCCAAAAAGTCTGCAGATAGCTAGACAAAGTGGATTAAATCAAGGGTGTCGTGCATGCCTGTCTGTGACAATTTGGGAACTGATCTAGATGTCTCGTGTTTATTTGTGACGCTATAATTAATAATCTTCGTTATCACTTTATATTTTTGTTTTTGCCATTTTTCAAGCTTACGGCCATTCAAGAAGGATATTATTGACAACTTAAAAAAGTGGTGCCTGAGCAACAAAGTTCCCTATGAAATAAACCTATATTTGTCCTTAGGTCGCAAATTCTAGCCTATGTTGTCTGATTATAAAAGAGAATCTGAAAAACAAAGTCGAAGTTTCCAAATGTTGGTAAACGTGGCTTTAGAACTGAGTCAGGAACAATGATCTTGCAGAAAATGTGGAAAAATAATATGCTTCTAGATATGATAAAAAGGAGGCCAAATGAAATACAACCAGGAAAACTAGAAAAAAACATAATAGGGGGTATACGTTCGGCAGAAAGTGAATCGAAAATATAAATAAGGCTCTTTGGTTGAAATTTTTTTGGGTTAAGGATTCTAAAGAAAACACAAGTGAGGAATGAAATATGTGTGAGAAATCAGTTACCCTAAAAATATTTACAACTGCAAAATGAGTAAAAAAACGGCGGCAAGTCATTTCAATATTTCGATGGCAGCGATTTCTGAATGTGAACTATTTAGAAAAAAGGACACGGAAGGGACTCTCATAACAAATGGACGAATTGAAAGCAGTAAATGTTCGCCATCGTAAGGATTTAGGAAACAAAGACGGCGTATTGGAGTGCCCAAAGTGTGCTTTGTCTTCGGCGTTTGCTCGCTTCCATTCTATCTCTATGCTCGCTTCAAATCAATTCCAGGAGTGAAACCATAGAGTCAAATGGCGTTTAATCGGGTCGATGATAAAATATCCGAAAGATTGCTCATGAGAACCATTGCCAGGGAAAACTACCTCGCCATCTTTCTAAAAGTGAAGGAAAGATACATTAAGGTGAAGGAACCAGACAGGTGTGCAAAACAGAAAGTGCAAAGTTGTTATAATCAGAATTCAAGCAAATGGCTGCCCAACCATGACGAAACATTGCTGAGAATATTGCAAATTCCCTGGCGGCTTGTAGAGTGCTTTTCAGTGTTCAAGGGGCTCGGTAGGTTCTGTTCTCGCTACTCGTTTTCCAAATCACTTCTCTTCCAATCGCAGATTATATTTGCTGAATTACGCAATAACGCAAACAAATGGTTTATTAAAAATCCCCATTTCTACTGGTTGGATACAGAAGACAAAATCTAAAGCAGGGTAAAAAGGAAAGGAGAAAGAGTAAAAAGGAAAAAAGAAAAGAAATGAAAGGAAATGATCATAACTGATTTCTTTTTTAATATTTAGAGAATTCTAGCTAGCATTTGTAAATGTTGAGCGTAGAAGCGCAAATACTAAAGTTAAAGACGATATCTGTGGTGTGAACATCAACATACCCAAACAGTGACCTTGAGAACCCTTGAACTCACGGACAATTTCTTTGTTTCCTTATCCTTCTGTACACTAAAAAGCAATGCACATAGTTGATACTCGCCCACCGCTGGAATACACTCTGCCTATGCTACTGGTAATTTATATTACGCTTGCAGCTAAATAGAATAAAGACACAAAAAACCTAACACCTGTAACATATAGGAATCGTGAAAAGTGGAAAGACATTGGTGGAGATTGGAGCAAGTGGTAGAATGTGCTTGGAACAATTGTTGATTAAATTAAAGAGTTATAAAGGTGACTTTTCTTTAGATAAAATTTCTAGTTTTCCTTTTGCGATCAGGGAAGACCCATAAAAATCAGCAAGCTAAACACGGCTTTGCAACTGTTAAATTTTTTTACCGGCTTAAAACGGTTGTTCTAAACAGAGGCAAAAATGATAACATTAACTTAAGCTATAAAGAAAAAGCTGTCAGTTTTAATCTTATGGATAATTCTTGGTATTAGAAATACCTTCCATGGAAATCTGTGACGTAAGGTAGAAAGTCAATGGAGAACAACCTAGGTGTTTTCCAGCTTTCTTTTATACTAAACATACAACAAGGCAAGTTTTCCTAACATTTTTACCAAACGACACCATGTCACCTTTAAGCTAAATATTACAAACTGGATTTTTACTTAGTTTTCAATAACAATAGTTTGAGACCGAACAAAATCTATGTAAATACTTCCAAACTTGAAGATTGTGTTTGCTGAAGCCCTTATTCTAATTAAAACGAGTCATTCATCAACAAGAATTGTAACTTCACTGTTTAAAGTTAGCTATATAACACAGACTAGAAGTTGTAAACAAACATGAAAAAGAGCTGCAACTCTTCCTACCAAATTATTCGTGTTTTCCTTCATATGCAGTGTTAGGTTCATAGAAAGTGGTTGCGGTGATAGAACATATTTTGAAGCGAATCTTATCATAACATCTTTCTATGAAATGATAACTTGGAGAAGAGGATGTATGCTACATTGTGTTTCATTTTTAGCTTCCATTTCATCATGAAAGAATATTCATTAGATGAAATCAAACATGGTTGGAGCTTACCTGACAAGATCTTTATAAAGAAATTTCGCTGTGTCTAAGTACGGCCCAACTTCATCTTCATACTAACAAAGGATAAATACAGAAGTAAAATTAAGCTTTGTTTAGTCTTTGAACTTTACGAGATTTTCCTTTAGATCTCTCAATAGACTTGAAGAGTGTAGCGATATAGATTCTTTTTACAGTTTTTCATTTCGACCACATAAACCCAGTGGCGGTTTTAGGGACTGCGGGGCCCGGGACCAAAAACATCTGCGGGTTCTTGTTCTTTATAATTCCTATCTTTTTTCTTAGGTCTGGGGGGTGGGGCCTCTTTTGGCTATCGTCAGCGTGGGGCCCTTAAAAATATATCAAGTCGAGTGAGACATGGTCAATGAAGATTTTAAGTTTGCTAACGGACTAATTCCTATTAGGCCGGGTTACTGAATCAATACATTGAGATTTGCAAATAATTTCACATCATTATTCGTAAAAGACTTTGAAGTACCCAGGTAATACATGGTCCGGACGTAAAACTAAACAAAAGTAGTGAACCGCGAACTGTAGGACCAGAGCTCTGTAGAAAAGTATCCTTTGCATATTTCTCACTTTTGGCGCAGCTGTGACAGATCCCTGAAACTATCAAGGTACCTGGCTTTGGGCAAAGGTAAAAGATGTTAGGGAAAAAAGTGTTTGATTTGGAAGCATGAGGTTTCATTGAAACTGCGAAAGTTTCACTAACGATTATTCTATAAAGTAATAATTGATTTGAAAAAGTTTAATAACCTGACAAACTGGTCCTCCGATGCAAATGTTTGAAAATTTGGAAAATAAATTCACCACGTTCTTTATCTGAGAATACATCCCAAAAATCAGATTCTTCTGATACGAGCATCTGCAAAGCGACTAATGTGCATTATGATGCTACAAGGACATTTGGAAGTCAAGTCTTCAAAAAAATAGCGCACCTTAAGAAAGGTTACCTTGAGATGTTATGAAACTCCACAAACTAGCAAGAAAAAATGAAATGTGCACAAACTCTTTGTGGCCTACGCAATTTGGATAACAGGGGAGTAAAACATCGATAATAATAAAGATGAAAAAGGTTGGTTTCTAGGCAGGATCCTCGCGGAGCCCCATATGTCCTGTCTTTTAAATGAAGAAATTTTTCACTTGTCGCATAGAAAGCCAGAATTCCATGTTTAATATGAATCACTGCAGAGCATTTTAGTCTTCATTCAAAATAACAAACATATCAAGCATCTATGTTAAATATCAGCTACTTGATATCATGATAAAATAGGATAACTATTCATTGGCCTTTTGGCATCTAAATGATCATCAACGTTGAATTAAAGTTAGATTTCAGGACCTGGAGCAAAGATCTGAGCAGCTGTCGATTTGAAAACTCACTCTATTTCAATTATAGACATTGCAATGTCGCAATTTCATGCCAAGCAAAGTTGGGATCATATATTTGACTTTGTTAAAATACGAGAATAGTTGATAAGTCTGAATTGAAATGGATAAGAATAAAGTCATTTTTATACATAATGGTCTTGGTGTGTGCTCATTACTATAACAGGGGACGCAATAGGCATCAATGGAGAAAAATATACCGATTTTATATTGGAACTTCATTGCATGGAAAGTTAAATAATGAGGTGCAATTGATAAAATTCATTTTCCAATACAGATGAACAGGGAATAAAAAGAAGTAAACCCATGTAACCAAAGGTTTTGTTTGATACGAAATTCGTACTGATCAACCCCGGGAGGATTAATAAATTGCAGGAACACACAATCTGATTGTGAAGCAATGAAAAAAGCTTCGACTTACTTTTCGTAGTTCATCTGAAACTAGAATATCGCCAATTTGATCATCATAACATTTACATATTGATCCTGATTCTCTTACTAATCCTTGAAATGAAAAAAAATGTTCTTTTTATCTTAATTACTATATTATTATCAAAGATCAATAAATAAAGATTGACCTTGTAAGCAAATAGCTCAATTCGTTTATTTTGTGATTCCAGTTCGGGTATATCTAACTAGACGTCTTCAAGCGTTATATTTTTGCTTTGGAGAATTGCAATCAATATTGGAAAGCTTGAACAACTGTCAAAACAAATCACTGGTTAATCAAAATTATAAGAACTTTCCAATCATATGTAATCAAATCTCTCCTGGAAAATGATACATTTGTAATGTAATGAAGGATTGGCTCACAATTTAACCCATGGGCCTATGCGAAAGGTCGTATGTAACTGTGAGATTTTCTTATGATAGTTACTCACTATTCAATGATAATTACGAATTTAGAAAACGGTCCAGTTTTTTCTTCATATCCGTCTTCATTAACTCAGTTCTCGCCGCCTTGTGAGACTTTCTCATGGTGATATCCTAAATGCTTTTCCCCATATTTGGGTAAAGAAACTGGTTTTAGCAAGAAAAGAACAGTCTTGTAAACGAACTTATAACTTTAAAAACGTCATTCCATGCACAGAATGAGCTTATCTTCATACAATAAAAGTTTTTCATCTATTAATTTATTTCTAAAGCCTGTATATTTTAAAAGCTGGATATCAAATAGTTTTATATATTTACAGGTAAGCCACCAAATTACAAGCAGCACAGAGGAACTTTAGAAAACAAAACTGAAAAGTTTACCATCAAGAAAAATTTTGTCGAAAAATTCCATGTTTACTACAGTAGCTGGAACAACCTCAACTTGTAAACGAACTGACTTGAGATCACCTAGTAAAAATAAATGAAATTACTTTTAATAAGAGATTGAGAACATTTTTTGGATTTTATTCCACCAACTTAGCAATTATAGGTCAAAGTAGATGCACTTAGTGATTGTATAAAGCCAAGGCATTATGAAAGATGTTGAAAACAATGGTTAAAATGATAACTATAGAGGAAATACAGAACTGGTCTACAGATAAGGTATTTCGATAGTGATTGTATGACTGACAGTAGATTTGGTCGCTTCTCAATCTTGAAAAATACTGTCTTACAGAGACAATGATAGATGGATACAAATGCCATACGTCATCCTCAAGCTTTTAGAAACTGACAAATGCAGACCAAAAAAGGATCAAGAAACCTACCAAATTTGGATTCAGAAAGGGTGATCAGAGAGATTCTATGGTTTATGGGTTTCATAAAAAAATAAATGTTTCTAAAACTGTATCACAGTTCAATGCGTTGTGAGCTAAATAGATAGAAACTGTAAGCTAAATAGAGAATTAAGAGTTGTGACTATGACCAAAAAAGTTCTGTGCCACAACTCCAATAGAACCACTAAGGCAGCGCTTGACTAAAAAATCAATTTATACCAAACTGAAAGAAGGAGGCAAAAATGACACATTAAAACAAACCATCAAATGTCCAGACCTTTGCTCTTGGCGATATCTAGATCAAATGAAGCAAGAAATTGTAAACTAGAATATGAATAAGCAGTCTAATATGGTTATAAAGTTTTATTTTGAGCTCCTCATATATTGGTCATTCAATCTCCACACCACATCACTGCCAGGTGCAAATATCAGTTCTCAGTACAGGGAAAAATGATAATATTTTTGTAATACTTGGCAAGTTTCGCATGGTTTCTAGCTAAATTTTCCTAGCTAGCCCCAGCCAATTTTGTGTTTTTGTGTGCTTTTTGCAAAGGCAAAGTGACAATTTGGAGACTAGCAATTTCTATATGGCTTTGTACTTTAAATTTGTTGATCGGCCAATAACAGATTGACTGATGGCTAAAGTGACTTTTTCATCTGTCTATTTTCCTTAAATAAAAAAGCCTTGAATTGAACAGCCAGTGTCATGAAGTGAATGGTCAAATTTATTTTGTCCAAACAAGACTAAACAACAACACTGCTTGAAGCCTAGTTATTGCATAATACACATGGTTCCTAATGTAATGAAAAACTCAACAATAATGGGTTTACTTATATTTTTTAAAACCATTCTTATACCTAACAACTGTTGACATGTCTTATCTGATTTGTAAACTTTAAAATGGCTTATGGATGCTATATATTAACTTTTATATTATCTTTCTTCAAAGCTTAAGAGTCCTCAACTTTAGAAAATGAGTTCTGAATAAGCTTCAAGCTATGCTGCCATGTTGAGAAAAATTCAGGAAATATTTGAAACTACTCTTAGGTCCTTAATAAGCAGGGGGTCCTAATATGTAGGAGGGGGGAGTCGAAATAAGCAGTGGGAGGTGGGGAAATTGGTGTAATGTATCTGACCGCAATAGAGCATGGGCTGCACTACTCAGACATCTTAAAGGAAATTTTGACACATAAAAATTAGGGCTCTCCTACAAAAATTGAAAATTTAACAAGCGAGGGTCCTAACAAGGGCAGGGGGGACAGAAACTTCTTCAAAAAAAGCAGGGGGGGGAGGATGCTTATTCAGGACCTAAGAGTGTAATCATCATGATTTTTTGAGTTAGAAAGCCTAACTTGTAATATCATGCTACATAAAACAAAGCATTTATAACAAAATCTGAACCTTACTTTGAAAAATGCTTGGACATCTTGGTCTTTGAAGAAATCCTAAAAACAGTCATTACATTCAGACTAAAAATTGCAAATCAAAGTAGTTCAAATGATAAAACGTAGTAAATGTAGTTCAAAAGTGCTTCTAAAATGTGAATTTATTAAATTAACTATAAATGAAAACCATGTTTAAGCTTAAACAGAAGTGATAACTTTGGTACAAAACTTCAGATGATTTGAAAATGAAATAAATAGAAATTGTGTTTATCTCATGGGTATATATTTACCATCACAAACTTATCTTTGTCACAGTCTTTGAAAAATGCATCGTATGAGAACACATCCAGTGACATATTGCCTTTTAAGCCCCTGGAAATCAAAGTTCATCTATTATTAGAAGAGAGATTGCAGTAAATACAGTCCTTTTCGTGAGCAAAATTACGCGTGTGTGGCAAATCGCACATGTAAACAAATTTGCGCGTGCGATCGCACTTGTAAGAAAATTTGAAGTACAAACCTGATAAAATTGGTAAAAGGAGCAAGAAGGAAAAAGCCACTCGAATACGTGCAAGAGCAAAACTCAATTAATCAATACATAACAGATTTTGTTGCCCTTAGCAGCCGTCTTTTAAAAGTCGTCTTAACTCTCCAAAGTTACAAGAGCAAGTAAAAGTTGTTTCCAACAGCTACTTGCTTTCAGGGCCTAATTACGTTTTGACAGGAAATCAGTTATTACACTTAACATGCTAATGGCGACTTAGCTGAAAGACGAGACGCTAAGTTGAATGGAGCACTCAGTCAAAAGCCAAACATCACTTCCGAAAATTGGAAAAATCATATTGTGGTCAAAAGTGCGAATCAAGTAACAAGGGAAAGGATAAACAATCACGAGACCATGGGAAATTGATGTTAAAGGGCCTCTCCAGCAAAAAAAATTTTTTTAATGACTTAAAAGTTAGCATCTGGTGCGTGTATTATGACAAAGTCATTGTGACATTCTGACGTCACAATGTGCGGCTCTCGTTCGCCATGAATTTCGTATATCTTCCACCGAAGCGTGAAGGACTCATGGTCACGCGTTGATAACTGCATCCAGTTCCAGTTCCTGTTCCAGCTCTTCCCTCGCGTACAATTAATCGAAATTGTCACTTCAGTTGTTCTCCAGAAACGATGAACAACTAAAGGCTTCAGAATTGGTGTCTGAAATGCTCAAACTAAAAGCTGGCGGAACAGAACTGAAAGTACCATCACTTGCAGTGTTCAATTTGCGAATCGCCGTCGTTCGATTCGGTTTGAGGCGAGACTATCCGAAATACACTGTGACGTCAAAATTGCGTCACAGTGTCACCAAACCAAAAATTTTTGTCGGTTAATTCAATTAAATTATCGAAATGCAAGAGCTTATATCTCACAAACTGTAAAAAAATATCGAAAAACAAATAACGAATTCGTGATCAGCAGGCTCAACTTCTTTATAAAAATTGCCAATAAAATGCAAGTGCAAAATTTAGCTGGAGAGGCCCTTTAACAGAAAACTGCAAAAACACCTGTTTGCGCGTGTGGTCAAAAGCACGCGCAATTTAACTTGCGCGTGTGCAGGCGTGTGCGGGTGCGATCGCACGCGCTAAACGAAAAGGACTGTAAATATAAACATTGCACAACTAATTAGAATGAGATACTTGTATCAAATAAGTCTTTGGCACTTCAAAATTTGAAAAAGGCATGGAAGAGCAGAAACATATCATACTGTGTGATATTATATCACATCATACAATTTCAACAAGACCTTACAATCTCAACCAGTATCAGCCCCATCGATCAAATGCCCTGCCAGATTGTCAGAGGTGTCTGGGGTTCCCTGATTTCAAATGCCTTCAAGTCAACTGCACTTATTGGTCAAAGTCACCCTTCCTTTGCAGCATTGCCTACCTATGACGCCAAATTAAAAGAAAAAAGATTCTTTTCCCTTTTCCATACAAGGACAGCAGGGACTGCTGGCTTCCAAACTTTTTGTCCTGTGCATGTTCAACTTATTTTTGTTTGGCTCTAGCATTTGTCATTAACTTGATAAATAAATATTTGGCCAGAGAAGCCTATAGCATAAAGTTTTTTGACGCTTTCTGAAGCCTATGGCATAAAGTTTTCTGACGTGGCGAAATAGAAATTTCCCTTTTTATCAATGCTCTTCCAGTTAACTGTCGCTAAAAACAGAACCAAACTAATAATTTTCTGATAAAACGTTGTTGTTAACAACAAAAACAGAGCTGGGCTGGGCCTAACTTGCATGGACCGCCTGACGTATGGAAAATAAGACATTTATTTTTGTTATTCATCTTTAATTGAAAAACAATTCAATAAACTTACCATTTTAGAAGTAAATCTTGAACAGACTTAGCATCGTACGCTGAAAATTTTTTGTTTGGAAGTTGACAAAATTTAAATATCTTTTCAAAATGCGCCATTTCTCATGATGCCTCCTTTTCCCACTTCAAGTCTCGATTCGATTAAAGGAAAACATGGCGGCTACACGAATAGTTTATAGAATTTTTGCCGGAAGTAAACCGAAAACAGTGGTAGAGAAAATAAAAATTCCAGAGCTAAAAGACGGCGAAATTTTAGGTAAGATATTAGCTGCAACAATATGTGGATCAGATTTGCACACATTAACTGGAAAACGCATTGAAGCAAATCCCAGTGTGTTAGGCCACGAAGGAGTCATCGAAATTGTTGAAAACAAAAGGGGAGGGTCCTTGTTAGGCAAAGGCGATAGAGCAACGTTCCATATCGCAGATTGCTGTAAAAAGTGCATTTTGTGTAAAAGTGGCGTAGAGCAAAAATGCAAAAAGTTATTCAAGGTAAAGAATTTGCCCGAATTTAAAGAGAGACGTTAATTATTTGACAATTATGTTAGTTATCTTTTTAGATATACACTTGTGTTGCCAATTGTGTATCGAAGCGAAATTTTAAGAAACAATTTGTGCACCTGTTTTTATAAGTTTTTATACCTGCCAGCAATACCAAGTTCACAATACTCGTTACACTTTCTTCTTCTTAAGTGTATAATTATTCTAACCTTCATTCATGTTCAATTTGCAGTGTTATTCTTCTATTATTTTAATAGCAGTGGTGCAGAACTTTTCGAACTTAACAATCTGTATTTAATTCTTTTCAGATTCAATCAAATTTTCTAATAGCTTGATAAATTTGCAAATTCCAAAGTTTGCAAATGCAAACCCAGACCTTCAACTGTGCACTAGTTATTCTCTGCTCACTCCAGGGTGCATTCCATGTCAACTGTACGCTGCAGGTCCACCGGGACATTTGTTTAGGTACGCCGAAAATATAAAGGCAGTTAGTAAAACTGTAAACATTATTGCGCCAGACAAAGAAAACTGATTATTAGAGAAAATTGTGGTGTATGAGTCTTTATTTTACATTAACTATGTACATGGCTTCATGTTTAGCATGTCAACTAACTAAAATTATGATATAAAATAACTAAAAAAATGAAGTATACTTCCATTATAAGCATACATGTCAAAAAACTTTTTATTGGTTTGCACACCGAACGCCAAAAAAAACCTGGGTGTACGCTGAAGATCTTCGGGCCTAAGTACATGGAATGCACCCTGGTGCTCACTACAAATTTACCAACATTGGTGTTCTTTTTTAAAGCAACCACTCATTCACCAGCGTGCCCTTCTATAATTGTATTGATAAAACTTTTTCCAAGTAGCACAAGTAACCATCAATTGGCATTCTTACTTAGAGAATTAATTATCTAAATCAGTCAATTTATTTTCCTTTTTAGTATGGTCACACACAGATTGGACACCGATCTACAGAGCTGAGTGGCTGCTATGCTTCTCACATTATCCTTTTACCAGGAACACATGTTGTAAAATTACCTGATAATATCCCGAATAAAATAGCTGCGCCTTTGAACTGTGCTTTAGCCACTATGGTGAATGCCATATCTTATTCAAACCCAAGTATGAAATCAAGTGCCTTAGTACAGGTAAAAACAATGAATACAATTTTCAAAATTTAGTCACTTAGATTGACTATTTAGCAAATATTAATTTTGCAGTTGGCAAAGTTGACTGCCATTGAAAAGACTTGGCATTAGCTTTACATTGATTCCACCCTGGCACAAAAATCAATGCAGATGGTCATATAGGCATAGGAATGTACAGATCATTTTACAAGGCATTTAGCAATGGTAAACAATAATCATCTCAAAATCATATGAATCAAAATAAAGATACAAAAACTGCTGCCTGATAACCAAATTAAGCAAAAAATTTGGGGTTCCAACTGAAAACTATCACAAAACACAAATGCTCTATACAGGCATGTGGTTATCCATACAAACAGATACTGCAGAGCCAGGCCTTTGATCAGCTATCAGTCTTTGTGTGCCACATCTGCAGCAGAGACTGTCATGCCAGAATCAGACTGCTGAGCCACACCAAATGCCGCTCTCAATGCAATGATTAATCAACCAACTATGACGCTACCACTGTCTTCTCAGGAGACAGAAGGATGCCTACTATGCAAGCATGTTCAGCTCAGTGATTTTCATCAAAATGAAATTAGATATCATTATCTCATCAAGTATTTTTTTATTTTGCTATAGGGTGCTGGTCTGCTTGGGTTGTATGGTTGTGTTTTGTTGAAAGAGAAAGGCTTTGATAAAGTGTATTGTTCAGAGGTTAATACAGCAAGATTGTCACTGGTTGAACATTTTGGTGGCATACCTATTGGACCAACATATCCTACAAAGCTTGAAGATGAGTCAGTTGACTTAGTTGTAGAGGTACATGACCAATTATTATAGGGGGATATTATAGGGGGGGGAGTTACCCAATTGCAATAAATAGAGCCAAAAACTGCAACTAACAGCCAGAAAGGGCATAGAACTGTTACCCCATTTCTTTCTGTTAAGCTTCAATTTAAAAATCTTTCTTCACTTTTTGTAGCCACATTATATAAACTGTGAACTGCTTTAAAGTTATATCAAAATATGAAAGCCACATAAATTGTGAAAAGTTGTGAAAAATATCAACATAATTAGCTTGAGGCAAAAATATGATGGAGGCTTCAAAGCTGCAAAGCAATGAGATACTTTTGTAGATCACTTCCATGATACCAAATAGTTGGAGTTAGAAATTATATCATTAGTTAGGCCCACCGGTGTGAAAAATCCTTTTTCAGGGGTAAGAGAAGATGAAGGGAATCTTTTGCTTCTCATCTGGTGCCCTGTTTAGAGATAACTGATCACTATTTGGAAATTATATTAGGGAAGAAGGCTGTAACCCCCAGCTGATTGATGATCAATTAATTACATCATCTACTAGTAGGCCAGCTTATTTTAAAAATCAACTGTTTTATGTAGGTATGTGGAGTTCCTAGTGTGTTCAAAGAAGGAATCCGAGTTCTTAGACCTGGTGGGGTCTATGCTTTGGTTGGTATGGTGCATCCAAATTCAAAACTTGATATAACAGCTGAGCAAATTATTCGCAAGTGTATTACAATAACAGGTAAATGACATAAATCATTTGTATTACAAAATGTTGGCAGACTTTAATATAAAGGGTATATTATCATGTTCGTTTATTTATGACAACTGTATATTTATAATCATAATTTGATTGCTATTTGTTTATGCAGGTGTTCATAACTATTCTTCAAAACACCTTGATGAGGCTGTGGAGTTGCTGTCAAGAACTATTGATAAATATCCCTTTTCAAAACTTCTTAGTCCTTCTTATGCACTGTCACAATTTGATGATGCTGTTGAGGAGGCTCTAAGTCAATCTTATCTCAGAGTTGTTATCGAAGCAGCCCAAGAATAGAATGTGGTCGCTGACCCTTGGTTGCTTTACTACAACAGATTTGGTGGTTTTAAAAGGTTGAGAAATCACAGTCAACATAACACTAAATGAAATTGACAATATTTTTGTAAAATTTCCTTGTAAAAATTTAAATTAGTTTTTAATTGTATGTTGGGAAGGCTTCTAGTGTTTGTATTTTTAACTTTTGTATTTCTAACCTTTGTAAAAAGATTGAAAACTTCACATTTTGTCTGTTTCTGGACTCAGGAATTAAAGAAAATAATGTACTCCATTGTAGTTGCATAGAATAGAATTTTGTAGAGGATAAACTAAGTTCAAGCAAATGTAGCCTACGTGCAGACCATAAAATTTGGGAACAAAGCGAATTTCTTTGTCAAACGGTTGCTTTGAAAGCTGCAACAGTTTGGCCAGTCGGGCTACCGGGCCACATAGGAGTCATCCAGGGAGTCATCAGTTGTTATCGCTCAAACGCCATTTTGAAGCGAATGATGTAGTGATTTGCAAAGTGATATTTAATAATTCCGATAGCTGTTAGAATGAGTGCTGACTCAGGCAGTACATGAAAACATAGTCTGTGATTGAAATAAACGCAATTCCGTGGAATATTCAATTCCGTTTAGAATATCTGCACTCAACTTGCGAAGTGTTTTTAAACTTCAGCAGGCACCAAATTCTGTAACAGTTTCCAGCTTTGCCTTAAAACGGCCTGATAAATTGTTCGCACGCAAACTACAATTCCCGGTTTTCCTTTAATAACTTTTGACTAAAAGTATCTGTCTCACCGTAAAAAAATTTTTTTTCAAATGTAATAAAATATGGGAAATAACAATTTTGCATCACTTGCTGACCTTTTTTGTTACAATAAAAGACAGTTTTCATATCCAAAAGAATACAAACTCTCTTCATAAAACGAACTTACTTATTTTTACGAACTTATTCATTGACCTTCGATCGAGACGATGTCATGTATTCAAAATTACCACAGACTGCATATATATGAAAAGGCCGGTTTAAAATATTGACATTTTTAAAATGCACTAAATCATACGAGTAAGATTATGTTAAATTCGTATGTTAAAAACCTATTTACAAACATCTGACAAAGCAATATGCCACAACCTGTTTAAAAACTCTTTAAATTTTGCGAAAAAATCGAACGAATCCACATTCCCTACGATGTGATGTCCTGTCTCAGAAGAGCCTGTGAGTCAATTTTGGCGTGTTCAGAACTTCTTGTTTGTCACTTTTTCTTAAATTTAGAAACGATTGTCTACGATGTTAAATAAAGGTAGTAATAAGATTGATTCATTATTTTTAAGATTTTCTTTTGTTATAATGTAGCTATCAATGTTAAAAAGTGGAATGTTTAACAAATGAACAGAAAGATTTAGATAAATGTATCTACGGAACACCAAACTATTATTCCCAAAAAGTGAACAGTTAAATGTTAAATGCAAGTTCGACTTTAAGGCACTAACCCTTTGAGCATTCGGTTTTGTCTAAACCACTCAGAATACGATATTATAAAGTTGTTGCTATGGTCTCATTGGAAGCAGCGATTTCTTC